GTATATATCTATCGATTTGCACGAAATTCGGCATAACGTACTAAATTGAGCCTAGATTGATGTATGCCAAGTTTCGAGACAATCGGTCCAGATTTAGATATAGCTCCCATATATGGTTTCGTCCGATTTAATATAAATTTAGTCCAGAATGATGGGTGCCAAGTTTTGTGAAAATTGGTTGAGATTTAGATATAGCTCCCTTTTATTATAGATTGATTTTAAGTAATTGACGCACCAAGGAACCAATAGGCTGGTAGGAACAAAACGTACTAAGATTAGTATAACCTAACCTGTGACCAGTTTCATTGAAATCGCTTCATATTTGGATATAGTTTCCATGTATATTTTCGCCCGATTTTAAGTAAATTGCGCATCAAACTCCTCATGTTAATCAGATTGACATCAAATTTTACACAACGTACAAAATTGAGCATAGAATTGTTGCGTTTTCTAGAAGTACAGGCATAGTCCAACGGATGACCTATTTATATTTGTTTGAAGTCGATTTACATATTTTTGTCCCATTGAACGAATTATATGTTTATGGATAGATCTGGGTAGATTCACATTTAGATAAATATCATCAGCTGTTTAATATACCCATATTGGTGAAGGGTATCATATAGACGGCCCCGTCCGACTTTACTACTTTCCTTACTGGTTTCATGTAGGCGAGCTGAAATGTAGCGTTTCCCATATATGTGAGTTGAAAGGGGCATTTTGATTTATTTACAAAACCTTTTTATGATGAACAGATTATAATTATGCTCAACGATAAAAAAATTCAGACAACCATTTAGTTGTTGGTACATCTTTGATAAATTTATGTTTAACATATTTCTCGGCAGGTTCAAAACATATTTAACAATGCCTCTTCCCCAAAATTTGTATTTAGTTGAGAAGGTCATGATTTAGCAATTAACCAGCAAATGGTATTCATATACCTCAACACACATAATCTACCTTTTCATTCTAAAAATACTTATCCTTAACTTCTTCTTGGTAATTTCAGCTTTGTGTGTCTGGTTAGTATTTCAATCATTCATTTTCTTCGAATTTCACAATTTCATATGCAACGAATACACAGGCCATTAGCAAAAATGAAAATTTCTCCATGATAAACCACAGCAGCGCACAAATTAAGCTGATGGCTTATGAAAATCAACAGTCTGGCCAATGCCAGGTAAAACACACAGCCTTATTATCGCCACCACATAAGGCGGTGGCATAATCAAATCGGTAGGCAGGCGGCGAGACAGCCAGCCAAACGTCAAGGTGAAACAAAATCCACTCACACACAAATAAAACTAACGTATTGCATTCCGTAGCCGCAACATTTGCTTCGTCAACTGCTAACAGCTGCAATCTACGACACGACGACGATTAATGAACGAATGAATGAATCCGACAATGTTTTTGCAATCAATTATCCATCATTCACTTCTCAAGTTACTAATGAACTCTTTTGCTATCAAGTTCTTCGGTATTCCTATGCAGTCTAGAGATCTCATCGTTTGATGTGATATTACTTACCGCACAGCCAGCAGATATAGTAGATGACTGATGTCTTTTAGGGTTGCTCTCAAAGTTATCTCTGGTGTGCAATGATAAACAAAAGTGGTCGAAAATTTTAGCTGGTTTTGGTGCTGAGATATTCTGCTTATTTTTTGACTGACTTAACAATTCATCAACGTCCAGAAGAAATATCTGAAGCTAGAATCGTGAAATTTTGGGTGAGAGTCACTCTTACTCCAAAGGTATCTGATAAGGCTGGTATTGGAAATTCGTAATAGAACGGCACGAAAAATGCTAAAAAAAAATACTAAATATGGTGTCATTTGTATTTGGCGAACTGGTGCAGCTGGAACGCTTAAATGTAATTACTTACATACTTACTTAGCTGACTTGTTACAGAACAGTTGTTCCATAAGCCGAGCTTAAAAAAGATTTCCAAGCGCGTCGGTCTTGTGCGCAAGTCCACCAATTTGAAAGACCACGTTCCAAGATGTTGTTTTCTACTTAGTCTTTCCATCTAATTCGTGGCCTTCCCCTCCTTTTTTCTGAAAACACGTTTCTCCTCTCTCCCTTTCTCCCGATAATTCTCCATCACGTTACGTGTTGCTACTGTCTGCAGGGTTGCCCTATACGCTGCGTTTTTCCCATCAGTAGCATTACGACACTCCTGATCGTACCATGGGTTTCTTGGTGGTGGTTTTTGGTACCCAATTGTTCCTTTTGCTGCAGTTTGTAGGGATTGGGCAATTCTTTGCCATTGTGCTTCTATACTATTATCGGGACAAGAAGAGCTTTCTTCAAGCAAATGGGTAATTTGAGCGGAGTAGGCCTCGGCTACCTGTTGTGTTTGCAGCTTTTCGACGTCGAGTTTCCGTGTTGTATTAGATCGCACCTTTGTTGAAACATTAAGACGGGTGCGTACCTTGGCTGCCACAAGGTAATGGTCCGAATCGATATTCGCTACTCGGATCGATCGGACGTCTAAAACACTGGATGAATGCCTTCCGTATATCACAACATGATCAATTTGATTTCTCGTTACTTGAAGTCAATCAACCTCATGCCGTTGTCGGATGTTTCTTCATGAAGGCTGAATTTTCCGACGGTGGGGCCAAAGATATTTCCCTTCCGATTTTTTGCATTAAAATCTCTTAGCAGAATTTTAATGTCATGGCCAGGGAGACGGTCATATGCTGTTTCTAGGCGCTCGTAAAATATGTATTTGATTTGCTCATCTTTGTCTTCGGTCGGAGCATGGGCGCAAATGAGACTGATGTAAAAGAACTTCGCTTTTATACGGATTATAGCAATACGCTCATCTACTGGAGTGAATCTGGAGGTATTTTATTCTCCTGTTAACCATAAATCCGCAGCCAAATTCATGTCTCGTTTCATGGCAGCTATAATACAGCGCGTAATCGTCTAATTTACTTACGCCTGTCCCTTTCCATCGCATTTCCTGTAAGTCAATAATATCGGCTTTGTACTTCTTAGGTATATCCGCCAAAGCGAACACTGCGCCTGTTCTGTACAACGTACGCACATTCCAAGTGCAGATTGGCAGATCGTGGTTCTTTATACATTAGGGGGGTTTGTTTTTTTTCTTAGCTTTTTCATAGTAGGTTGGATTTTCCGAGAGTGGGCAACTAACCCGACGCCTCAACCCATTTTTTATAGTTCTTATGGGTGAACTCGCGGCTAATGAGAATAGCTCCCCAGGTGGCACCGCGGGTAGGTCAGTGTCCACAATTGAGATGAAGGAGGGACCAAGATAAGCCTGGACTTCGCCATGTTAAAGCCAATCAGAGCCGTTGCTTGGTATCTGTCATCCCCTACGCCACCCACGCTTAAATGTACTCAACTTTTTTAGAAAAAAAATTGTACTAAATTTGGTGCAATTTCGTAGCATGAACGGATAGGGCTAAGTTTGTAATTTTGAAAAGTAGGGTTGATATAAGGGTTGAAGTACCACATGGTACTATATTTGGTACATATTAAATCTGGGAGAGCTGGAATCCTGAAATTTGAAATTGACTTTACTTTCGAAGTGTATCGATATGTAGGTAGTTGTAGAAATTTCTACTTATGTGTACAATAAGTACTAATGGTACTATATTTGGTACAATTTGGATTTTGGATGAAACGAAATTTTGGATTTTGGGATCCTCAAATTTGGTGTTAGGATTGGAGTGGAATTGGAATTGTTGGAGTGGAATCCTAAATCTGGGAGAGCTGGAATCCTGAAATTTGAAATTGACTTTACTTTCGAAGTGTATCGATATGTAGGTAGTTTTAGAAATTTGTACTTATGTGCACAATAAGTACTAATGGTACTATATTTGATACAATTTGGATTTTGGGTGAAACGAAATGTTGGATTTTGGGATCCTCAAATGTTGTATTAGGATCATTGTTGGAGTGTAGGCTTGGGGTATGTAGAAAGTTTTGGAAATATATACTAATGTGTACTAAATGGTACTAAATTTAAATTTTGGGCAAATTGACAGAACTGATTAATGTGCACTCAATTTGCTACAGTTTAAATTTTGGGTGAACCGATAGATTTAGAATCCTGAAATTTTGGGTCAATATTGGGGTGTAGGATTTGCAAATTTGTACTAATGTGTACTAAATGATACCATATGTGAATTCATAGAGCTTGAATCTTAAAATTTGGAGTTAGGATCACTGTTCAGGTGTAGGATTGGGCTATGTATGAAGTTTTGTAAATTCATACTAATGTGTACTAAATATGGTACAAATGAAATTTTGGGCGAACCGATAAAGCTGGAATCTTGAAATTTTAAGTTAGTATCACTGTTGTTATATTTGAGTGAATCGATAGGGCTGGAATACTGAAATTGGAAAATCTGATTTCTATTGGATTTATATTAGTGTATACTATATGGTACTAAATTGAGTATAATTTAGACTTAGATGAACCTATAGAACTCGAAACATGAAATTTTGAATTAGTTTTGGAAATAAGTACTCCATGAATACAAATGTTAATAAAGGATACCAAAATTAGTGTAGAGCTAGATTTGTATTGCGATCAGAATTGCGGTGTAGTGTTAAGATGTGGAGGTAGTTTTGGAAGTACGTACTATAAAGGAACTAAATGGTACTAAAAATTTAACTATGGTCAATATTGGTGTGTACATTGATTAACAATCCTGCCATATGCAGTTCTCGGTGAAAATTACATTATACCATTATCTTATCTATATCAAGTTTTGTATAAATATTTTTAACACCATCAAATATGTTTGGTATAAAATTCCAAAATCACTAACGGCAACATTGCTTGCTTTACGTGTTTATTCAATTTTGTTGTTAATTTTGTTTTTTTTTTACCTTTTACACGTAACTCTTGCTCTGACAAGGACTAATTTTTTATGCTATGTCTTCTTCATTTTCTTTTCATGTTTTCCCCCCTTTTTGCCATTCATTTCATTGTTAATTTCTAATTCAATAACACGCAGCTGGATGAAAATGTACAAAAGATGTTGCCCCGAGTACCGGTGCCATTACAGGAAGCCACATCTCGTCTAGTGAATCGAGATCCAACAGCCCGACCGACAGCTCAACTTTTGCAGTTGATTAAATACTTTGTGTAAGTAATCACATACACAGAAACGCACACACTTACACCAATACATACGTTTTTTATACAATAAGATAATTGAATAGACACACACATACATAGATATAGAAATATCGGTATAGCTACCTACCTTGTTATGAATTATTCCAACTACACGACCATATCCACCAGAGTTTGTAATTAAGCAATCTGTAAATTCAATTGGGAAAATATTATATTTCTGTTGTTTTTTTTCACAATTGAAAATGAAATTAAGAAAAATTAAGATTCAATTTCGTAGAGAGACAATATAATAAAATAAAAGAAGAATAGAAACCGAATAAATTGAATGAATAAGTTCAGTTTAAAAATTAATACTTTTGCGTATTTCTTAAAAGATAACATCATTACTTTCAGTCACTAATTCAATGAAAAAAGGATTATCACACTTGCTACTATCCCCTAAGTCGAACAGTATCCTTGAATCATTCAAATTTACTTTAAAATTAATATATACAGCAACTATAAGAAGACTAATACTAATACAGGTGTTAATAAGCTACTTGTCAAACAATAAGTAACACACACACAATGACAGAAGAACACAGACTCTTCCAGAATAGTTCAGGTAGAATTTTTTTGCCTATTGGAGACACTGAACACCAACACAATAGCTCTTTTGTGAGTCATTTCCGTTTCCGCTTGTGAAAGGAGAACAATTTGTATACCCTTCACCACACTGTGGTACAGGGTATTATGTCTTTGTGCATATGTTTGTAACAGGTAAAAGGAAACGAGATAGACACATGGTTCCTCTTGAGAATATGTATAGAATCACTTTCTGAGTCGATTTACGCATTTCCGTCTGTCCGTCCGTCCATGTATTTTTGTGAACAAAGTACAGGTCGCATTTATGATCCGATTTGGATGAAATTTGACATAGGTCACATATATGGCCCAAGGACGAACCCTATTGAAATCGGGAAAAATCGGTTCAGATTTAGATATAGCTCCCATATATATTTTCGCCCGATTTCATGTAATTGGTGCACCAAAGTCCAATATATCTCTCGATTTACACGAAATTTGGCACAGCGTATTGAATTAGGTCTAGAATGATGTGTGCTAAGTTTCCTGAAAATCGGTTCAGATTTAGATATAACTCACATATATATTTTGGCCCGATTTCATGTAATTGGTGCACGAAAGTCCTATATATCTCTCGATTTACACGAAGTTTGGCACAGCGTATTGAATTAGGTCTAGAATGATGTGTGTTAAGTTTCCTGAAAATCGGTTCAGATTTAAATATAGTTCCCATATATATATATATATATATATATATCCGATTTAATGTAAATGGTGCACCAAAGTCCTACATATCTCTTGATTTAAACGAAATTTGGCACAGCGTACTGAATTAGGTCTAGAATGATGTGTTTAAAATCGGTCCAGATTTAGATATAGCTGTCATATATATTTTCGACCGATTTCATGTAATTGGTGCACCAAAGTCCCTATATATCATTCGATTTGCACGAAATTTGGCACAGCGTACTGAATTAGGTCTAGAATGATGTATGCTAAGTTTCCTGAAAATCGGACCAGATTTATATATAGCTCCCATATAAATATTTTCTTCCAATTTTATGTAAATTGTGCATCAAAGTCCCTATATATCTTTCGATTTGTACGAAATTTGGCATAGGGTAACTAAATAGGTCTAGAATGATGTGTGTTAAGTTTCCTGAAAATCGGTCCAGTTTTAGATATAGCTCCCATATATTCGTCCGATTTATAGTAAATGGTGTACCAAAGTCCCTATTTATCTTTCGATTTGCACAAAATTTGCACAGCGTACTGAATTAGGTCTAGAATGATGTATGTTAAGTTTCCTGAAGTTGATCCCGATTTAGATATAGCTCCAATATATACATTTTCGTCCGATTTAATGTAAATGGTGCACCAAAGTCCCTATATATCTTTCGATTTGCACGAAGTTTTGCATAGCGTAATGACTTAGGTCTAGAATGATGTGTGTTAAGTTTCCGGAAAATCGGTCCGCATTTAGATATAACTCCCATATATATTTTCTTCCGATTTTATGTAAATTGTGCACTTGTGTGTCCGATTGCCACACAATTTTGTACAATGAACTGTAATTAATCTCTGCCAAGTCTCATTGAAATCGATTCTGATTTTGATATAGCTTCTACATAATTATTTTCGTCCGATTTAATGCCAAATTGACACATATTTTGCACAACGTACTGAAGTTAGTATAACGTAGTGGTAGGATATAAATGCTTCAACAAGGTGGGTCCAATCGCCACAAAATATTGCTCTACGTACAGAAGTTACTATAACATAAGAAGCAATCCTTTATCTGGCCAAATGAAAAATTTAACATAGGTGGCAGAATGACATGTTTATGGATCCATTTTTATGGTTATAGTCCTTCAAAAATTCGACGTCTGTTAGGATTCATCGGTTGAATATGCCAAAGTGGTGAAGGGTATCATATAGTCGGCCCGTCCGACTTTACTACTTTCCTTACTGGTTTTATTTTAAAACTTGTTATTTTTAACATCGTCCTTCAACTATTGTGATGTGTATTTCTATAGAACAAACAACAAATCTACCATGAATGGAGATAAAACACAAGCGATAGTATTTCTTTTTTTAAGACTTTTTTTAAACAATGCTAGTACCTTTAGGACTGACCAATAATCAAAACATTTCCCTATCACACGCCTAAGGGTCTGGGGTAAAAAAAAAAAATAAATGGAACGAGATGTATATTCTATTTGCTAAAACTATTTCGATTATTTCAGTAAAATACTGTGATGTTCGAAGTCTAGATCTAATCGAAAACACGTTTGAAAGGATATATTTGTTTTCGCTCTTCACTATATTGATCTTTTTTATGGAGTAAATACTAGAAGTTACGAACTGGCAGGGTCTATCATCTGTCCATATTTGGAATTAATGTACGATATCAAAAGTTTCGAACATATCAGTTATGCCCTTCGTGCACTAGTCATATAGATGGAAGGACATTTTAAAAGAGACTCCAACCTGCCTGGAACTAAGGTCGAACTTAGGGTCAGAAAGCGATATTTGATGAGACAATTTTTGTTCGTTTCAAAGTTGTTATACCATTATTCGTTTTCATGTTAAAGGGTTAAATAATTAAAATGCCAAAAGCTCACTCAAAACTAACAAAAAATAAACTTTGTTAGTCTAACTTACTTAAAAACGTAAAAATCCAACAGTTTACTTCCATAATCGGAATATTTTCGTCTATCATTAGAAGTTAAGTTAAGTCAAGTAAAGTGAATAATTTCATGAACTTTACCATGGCCACTTCTTGTCCCAACCTTTGAAATATATCCATAACTAACAAAAAACAATTCAACACCTGTTCACCAAACAACACAATAAATTCTATGTTCTTGAATGTTATGAGAGGTGTTAGAGGGCTTATTTCCACTCTCTTACATAGCATTACTATAACAACATTTTGTGTAATATAATACTTGAAAAATGCTAACAAGCTTCTTGTTAAACAAACTGGACAAAGGAAACTCTCAATGAACGACAAACCGACAGACAAACGGACTAACTGCCATTTGTCTATTGTGTACTAAATAAGAAATATCAAAGCTATACTCTTTAGCATTTCCGTTTCCGGTAAAATTTCCAAACACAAACTAATGGCAAACAGCTATTGTGCCAAGGTGCTCTTGCCGGACACTTTTAAACTTAATTTAATATCACTGAGATACGAAATAGAGAAATACATACACATATACACACTTGTTTTTTTTTTTTTTTTTTTTTTTTTTTTTTTTTTGGTTTTTGTAGTTTTCATTGATTTGAGGAATTGTTTGGCAAATAAGAAAATTAATTAGGAAATACTATTGAATTTATGAGATTCTTAGAATGAGAATATAATACGACAATTTCATTTCCGGGCTATAGTTTATATGTTACCCACTTTTCACTCACAATTTGTATGTATAGGTTTCCTCAGTCCATGAATATTTTTCAGGGCATATTTATGGCAGCAGATTTTTAAATAATATTTTTCGGGGCATATTTATAGGCTTAGAATTTTCAGAGTAAATTTTGTAGGCGTAGAATTTAAAGAAACCCTGTGAGCGGAGCTGTAAAGTCGGACGGAGCCGACCATACGATACCCTACACAACTACCACGAAACTCGGATTTTTATTCCGAGGCTGGGCAATAGTTCATGATATTTGTCCCGGCTTGCCCGTTTCGAGGTCAACAGCACATCTTCCTTACAGCCCTTCTAATTACTTGTCCAGATTCCCTTCACGGTGGGTTGAGATCTGATGTTCGGCTTATATTCAACTAGAAAACACACAAAGAAATTAAGTTTTCGGTCCACTTCATATCAAAATTTTATTCTGATCATCACCGAAAATTATAGGCGTTGTCCTTGACCATAATTGGAACTTCATGGAAAATTTCAAAGCGATCAGCGCTATATTTCCACCCTCTAGTGTGGTAATGATTTATTAACTAATATCTGAATACGTAAACACCTGTAAATATTTAAGTGTAATTCCCACATCCGAATAGATATATCAATATATTTGGTATCAATTTAAAGGTCAACCACTCCTCTAGGATATACTATCAACTTATCGAGTCTATATCCTTCAGGAGTAAATATATAAGCCATAGAATTCAAATTTTGTAATTTTTCACACAAAAGTCAGAGTCCATTTGACCCGCTAAATAATGACCGATCTTTATCAAAGCAGACATGCTTATTCGTTGTCCCGATCCACTTCTCCATGTAAAATTTCTCGATGTTCGGACCCTAATTGCGGCCTCTGGATCGATCAGAAAACCCGTATTTGGTCCATATCATCCCCTAAATATTAACTGATCTTTAACAAAAACAATAGGGGTCTTCATTGGCCAGAACATATCATACATGCAAAATTTCGTAAAGATTGGTCCATAACTGTGGCCTGCATCGTGTTTACTAATTATAATGGACAGACGGACACACATGTCTAGATCGACTCAGCTAGTCGAGATATGATGATCGGTATACTTAAAGGTGGGTCTAGGACCAATATTTCGCGGCGTTACAAATTCTTGTGGCTGCACAAAGTTATAATACCCTGACAACATAGTTGTGTAGGGTATAAAAATCCAGGGCATATATATAGGCGTAGATTTTCAACAAATATTTTTCAGAGCAAATTCATGGGAGTAGATTTTCAAAGAATATTTTATAAGGAGTTAATATTTTAAGACAACGACTCTTCACGGTAAATTTTTAGGCGTAGATATTTAAAGAATATTTTTCAGGGCATAATTATAGGAGCAAATTATTTTGTTCGTTCTACCCACGTCAGGGCATAATTATAGGAGCAAATTATTTTGTTTGTTCTACCCACGCCAATCACATCCGCCCCAACCGACCGAGAGGGCGACCCCCCTATCGTAGGCACCACATACGTTTAAGGCTTACATTTTCCAGAGCTTATTTATAGGGAATATTGTTCTTGATAAAGATCGGTTAATATTTAGGGGATGAGATGGATCAAAAACTTTATTTTTGTCTGATTTTCCAGGCCGAAATTATGGCCCTAACTTCGCGAAGGGGATCGGGCCAAAGAATAAACATGCCCGTTTTGATAAAGATCAGTCAATATTTAGCAGGTCAAATGGACCTTGACTTTTGTGTGAAAAATTACAAAATTTGTATTCTATGGCGTATATATTTGCCCCGCAAGGACTTAGATCCGAGAAGATTAATAGTATATCCAAGAGGAGTGGTTGACCTTTAAATTGATACCAATTATATGGTCGTATGTACTCAGATGTGGGAGTTACACCTAAATATTTACTGGTGCTTACGTACTGAGATATTAATTAGTAACCGATTACCACACTAGAGGGCGAAATATAGCGATGGTCGCTTTGAAATTGTCCATAAGGATATAGGTATGGTCAAGGACAACACCTTTAATTTTTGGTTATGATCAGATAATAATATTGGGATGAGGTGGACCGAAAACTTAATTTTTTTTGAGTCTACCTATAGGCCATTTGAAAACCGAACATCACCACATAACCCACGGTGAAGGGAATCTGGACACGTAATTAGAAATGGCTGTACTGAATATTAGTAATATTCTGAAAATATGACAGTGTAATGAAGACCGACCTCTAGTCGGTCAAAAGGGTGCAAATATCGCGAAATATTGTTCAAGCTCAGAATATAAAATCACAGAAAGTTAGATTTTCGTGGAAGTTGTGTAGGGTATCATATGGTCGGCCCCGTCCAACTATACTGCTCCGCTCAGGGAATATTTTCTATTTTGAATTTTGTAGGTCGTTTCCTAGGCTTGGATGTGTAATCCTTCAAGATTGTTTTTTGAACACATCTTTTTGGGGATTAAATTCAAAATAGTTTTTTTTTGGTATATTCTTAGGTGTGGATTTTTAAAGAATATTATTGGGGTCATATTTGATAGCGTGGAATTTTAAGGAATATTTTTAGGTACAATTTTAGTTTTCAAGGCTTATATGTAGAGGTAAATCTATAAAGAATAATGTTTAGGGTAATTTGTGTTTCAAGAACATTTTAGGGGTATTTTTTGAGGGTTGGATTTAAATCGATAATCGAGGGCATATTTATAGGCTGTATGTTTTTAAAGACGTATTTGTGGGAATATTTTTGAGGGCATCGTTAGAGGCATGTTTTTTTATAATACTTTTGTGGACATATTGGTAAATGTCCAAGTTTTGAGAATATGTTTTTAATAGTCTACTTTTCGCCGCTTTGAAAATTGTTTTTGAGGGTATCACTATTGTTTTATATGTATTGAAGCCATATTTGCATAATTGTGCATTTTTGAGCCATTTCCCTTCTTTCTGACTGACTTCCTTAAAAATATATATTTTTAGGCATAATTATTTATGGACATATTAGGAATATTTTGAGAGCATATGTGGGCACACTTTTAGACGCCAAAATTGAAGTATTATACCAGATACATCCTAGGCGTGGATTTTACAAGATTTTTTAGTATAATAACATTGGTTTTGACTGACAATTTGTAGGTGTAATAGGGAGTTATGTTCGTGGTTATTAAAGGTCTTAAGTATGGGAACCCAATTCTTCTTTCTTGAAGTCTTCTTTAAAAAAATATATATTTAATGGCTTTCATCGAGAGATTAACTTTTACCTTCCCTTTAATCCCTTTACCCCGTTAACCTCTGCTCAATTTTTTTATTTATAAAAAGCTATAAACAAAATATCTCTGTATACCAACACAAAAAACAAAACAAAAATACATTGTCACCCACTTAGTTGGGGGAAAATGCCATTCTTGGTTTCATTTCTGAGTTTGTTTATTATTTATGGCGAATTGTTAAAAGCATGTCTGTCGTCCTGCCAGTTTGGCTGTATTCAAAGAAATATTTCACATTTCGTTATTATTGCTATTGTGATTTAAGCTGTCACAGTTTTTAGTACACTTTGTCTTTTGGTCCTTCATGCATTTATTTATGTTGATTTGTTGTCCTTGAGTGAATGAGATGGCAGGACGAGTGTTGTTTTATTCCGCCATGCTCGTAATGCGGACACATTGTCAAATTAAGCTTTTTTTAAATATTTATTTGGTCGTATGTTTATTGTTGATGGGATTTGTTTGTTTCACTATTCATTTTGCTGTTGTTGTTTTTGCTTTCTTTTCATCTTTCATTTGCAGCGATCCTGCGGTAAATGCCCTCAAGTTTCTCGATGTGGTTAACATGAAGGATACATCGCAGAAAACCCAATTTTATAAAGTTACCTTAATGGAAAGTATGCCGCTAATACCAAAGGTAAGTAAGCAACAAATGTTTTGCAGAAAAAAATAAATAAATAAAAAAAACAACAAAAAGGGTAGGAATTTCCTTTTTTTTTCTCTCTTAAATACACAAACACACTCACGGCCTACTGACAACACAACATAAGCTATTGTCCTTTCCGGCCACAATGTACACAGGCATCGTAAAAAAGGATTTACTTTTGTAACAACAGGATATTAAAACAATAATAATAACAACAACAACAAAACCATCCTGACAAAAACAAAGGCAAACAAACAACACCTGCTGCAGCCACAACAAACATACACAGTTCACCCACAAATGGCTAGGGACCTTTCTGTTATGAATGAATAACCAACCGGTCGAAAGCACCGAAGGAACGATCCATCGTACAACAACGGCATTGGTGTAAATTTGTTTAACATTCCAAAATTACAAACAAACATACAATTCAACAGAGGCTTCTTTGGGATATTTTAGGGTTTTCCTTTTTTTCTGAAGCCATAAAAATTTACTTTTGTAGCCATAAAACGTTTATTTTCACATCACTGGTTATTTGGTTTTGACATTACTTATTGCACCCTACATATTGGTCGAATAGCTTTGTTGGTTATTTTTATCGGCTGTAATAAAGTGTATTTTCTGCTTTTCAGCTTTAGTTTTGGGTAGCACCAAGGCTGTCAATTTAGAGGTATTTTTTTTTTAATTTATTCGCAGCGGATTATATTACTAATCGATTTTTTTTTTTTTTTTTTTGAAAACTGTTCGATAGGACTGTTGTTTAGAGTCTATGTTTTGTGAGTCTCTCTGCCGCTCGAGGGCAAGATATTTCCTGTTCAGTCTGATTCTCTAAAAAAAAAAAAAGAATGTTATCTGTAGCTCCGCGATCGTTTTTTATGTTGGACAGAAAGGTGGAATTCGAAGCAGTACATGTCTGGCTATGGTATGAACTAGGACTATTAACTTTCCACAATTAAAAAATTGTGGAGATATAATTTTTTTTTTTTTTTTTTTTTTTTGGAAAATCCTCTATTATTGATCCCAAACCATGTTAGAAAATAAGGAATACCTAAACCGATTATATGTATACTAGATCATACGATGTTAACATGTTATTCTTTATTATTCTTTACATACATAGGTAACGACTAACGTGTTAACATTAGGAACCGATTGGATAACCAGTAAGCGGAGCAGTATAGTCCACGAAAATCTAACTTTCTGTGATTCTCTATTCTGAGCATGGGAAATATTTCCCGATATTTGCACCCTCTTGACCAACTAGAGGTCAACAAATATTACTAATATTCATTCATATTCTAATTACTTGTCCAAATTCCCTTCACCCGGGGTTGTGTTGTGATGTTCGGCTTTCAATTGTGGCCTATAGGTCGACTCGAAAAAACACAAAAAATAAATGTTCGGTTCATTTCATCCCAACATTATTATCTGACCATCACCGAAAATTATAGTCGCTGTCCTTTACCATACCTGGATCCTCATTGAAAATTTCAAAGCGATCGGCGGTATATTTTCGCCTTCTAGTGTGATAATGGTTTACTAAATAATGTCTGAATATGTAAACACCTATAAATATTTACGTGTAACTCGCACATTCGAGTACATACAACAATATAATTGGTATCAACTTAAAGGCCAACCACTCCTCTTGTATACACTATCAACTTCTCGGCTCTATGTCCTTCAGGAGTAAATATATACGCTATAGAAAACTCATTTTGTAATTTTTCACACAAAAGTCAGAGTCCATTTGACCCGCTAAATATTGACCAATCTTTATCAAAACAGGCATGTTTATTCCTTGGCCCGATCCCCTTGTCCATGTACAAATTCGCGATGTTTGGGCCATAATTGCGGCCTCCGGAGCGACCAGAAAACCCGACAAAAATAAGTATTTGGTCCATTTCATCCCCTAAACATTAACCGATCTTTACCAAAAACAATAGGGGTCTTCATTGGGCATAACCCATCCTACATGCAAAATTTCGTGAAGATTGGTCCATAACTGTGGCCTGTATCGTGTTTACAAAATATAATGGACAGACGGACGGGCGGACGGACACACATGTCTAGATCGACTGAGCTAGTCGAGATATGACGATCCGTATACTTAAAGGTGGGTCTAGGACCAATATTTCACGGCGTTACAAACTCTTGGGGCTGCACAAAGCTATAATACCCTGACAACATAGTTGTGTAGGATATAATTAGTTTTTCAGTTATTGTGCCCATCATTTCTAAGAGCACTGTTTCGAGAAAAACGCGTTTAAATAATAAAATTTGTGAAGCACTCTTGATTCCGGCACAATAAATCTGCTATATCTTTAAGAATTTTTGAGATTTTCACTTGAAAAGTTAAAGGGATATACTTGAGTTAGCCTAGGTTCGAATTTAATATGAAATCAAAATTCCAATTTTTGAGACCGAGAATGGGTGGAGTCCCCTTAAATAGTGCTGGGTATTTTTATATTCTTCTTAATCAGCTATGAGTTAATAAGCATATCGAATATGTCCCCTAAAATAAGATCAGATGCCATAAGCGTACATTTAATTTTTCTTTTCTACTACACGGCCAGTTCCATTTAATTCCTCTGATAAAAGATCCACCTATGACAACCAATATCCGCTGCTAGCGAGATAAGAAATATACGAATCCTATAGTCTTGCGTTCACCCCATCATTAACAAATATTATGGCCAACCATTAGTTGAGGACATTTGTCAGACATTTCACTTTTGATTTCTATCTACATCGCCAAACGATATTCCATTAGAATCAAGTACTATGGCTGGTTATATGCCTCTACGATGACATTCCGCAAAATTCTTCGTCGTAACTGGCAGTGATATCTTCTACATGGACTAAAGAGATCGTTCACCATACGACAATATTTTTCTCGGCCAGGTGATCTTGGAGTAGTCTATGCATTTCGCAAATTCTCTGATGTGGGGTAGCAATAATCCGTGATGTCTGCCTTTAGGAATCACCTTTACTGACATCCCATTTTTAGCCACTGTGATCCAATAGCCAGCTATTATATTTCTGGTTCATTCAGATCAATGGATTTGTATGATATTCCCATTGTAAATTGGGGTACCTCTTCCTTGTCTGCCTAACGTAATTTTCTTCGATCGATTAAAATAACGTATTGATGGAAATTGTAATAGAGATAGGTGAAATAAAAAGCTTCCATATTACGTGATTTATAAAATCTGGCGATACGATCGGTATGCGGCAGCCTCGCCATAGGTAGGCTTTGTGTTCCATTGGCTGGTTCTATGCCATGCCTTCTGTACGTAAATAAAGGAAGTCTTCTTCCGAAGAAAAACAAGGTTAGTAGATTATTTATAGGAAAAAAGAGAGTTCAAAAAAAGACATTCGAGACAAAGAATATTTCTGAAGGTGTTCTACCTCTGTAGCTCTTTCAGGTGTATATACATACACACCTATATATATACATATTTTTTTAACGTTTATATAGAGCATATCCTCTGTTGTTCTTCAATACATGGAAACATGTAGGACTTTTCGAGATACAAGACGTTCTTCCTATCTTATAATAACAATTTTTTATGGATGAAATACCCATCGCTAGAGAATATTTGATATTCGTATTTGTATATAGGCGACTTTATAAATATCTTAAGGAAACGTTTCCCAGTTTTTTTTAATTAAAAATATTTTCTCTCTATTTCTGATTTGGTCTCCACATATATATTTTTGCAATTATTTAATGACATGAAACGCATCACACAGTCGCCAATGCCTGCAATTTTGTTTCTCTTTGCCCAAGCAGATTTATTATGTGTTTAATTTTTGTTCTTTAATAAATTTAATACCTGTTAAAGATGTAACTGACAAGCCAGCTATTTGGGTAATGTACGAAATATACAAAAGCTGGGTCTACAACGTTTTATACACACCAATACACACTCATACACCAAAACAAGAAACTCCCCCCAATGTTTTCTTTAGAAATAAAAATTACTACCTTTTCTTTTTTCATTACTCCTCCCATTTCTTGTTGTTAAATATTTCATTTTTGTTTTTTTTTCGATATTTAATGTTTTTATCGCATTCCCTGCTCACCCTCTCTTCTTTGTTTCGTTTTCCTATAACCCATACAGAAATTATGGTGGCAAAACCTATGGCCAATGTTACAATCGGAAATTAGCAACGGCGAAGTGCTGGCAGCTGTCCTACACCCGGTCCTTACTCTATTACAGGATGCATCAAAGCAGGAATATGAAAGTGTTATGGCGCCAACAATGAAGTGAGTTTACGATTTAATTATTCGATAAATAAAAACCACACATACACACAAAAACTGAAATGTATATACCGAGATACCTGTCCATGGGATAGGTATTTAAAGCGAGGATGGAATGGTGGTGGGAAGTTAGAAAGCCATTCGAAGATAATATCAAGAATTAAAAATATTTACCGACTTATTTTAAACTCAGTTAAGTATTAATATTTACATATTGGACACTTCTATGGGGTTTCTTTACAAAAGAAAATCTATTCAATACGTAGAAAGTTATAAATGTCTAGGTTATATTTTATGAGTGTTCCATAAAAACAAGACGTTAATGAGAATTCTACATAGGTCCCCTTTTTATATAGAAGATCATCCTTAGTTTTTTATACAAAAGAGACCCAATCAAGTCCGCACTCTTCTCTTCATTTGGCTTCTATACAAATAAGTCCTAAAATAAATGGGACGCTTTGGAAGGATATGCGGGACCTCCTTATAGTTCTTCTATATGTAGAAACCCCTCTCTAAGTCTATTATAAATATTTTATATAGTAAAGACTATCTATAGCTCTTATGAACATAGAAGTCCATCCATAGGTCTTCAATGCATAAAATACAATCGATTATTTTCCAGAAAAAACCCAATACAGGCTTTTCTACAGACAAAAGTCTCTAGAGGTGTCTTCTATACCCTATAATAATCTTAAGTCAATAGTTAAGGGTTCCAGCTCTATCATTTTACCAACATCCAAAGTGTACCAAATTGTACTTACTTTTCGTAATGTTCAAATTTTTAATATTAATCAAAAATTTTAGGGTCCTAGCCCTATTCGTACACATTGTTCTAAATTGTACCATATTTAGTACCATTTAACACTTTTGGTATTTAATCATGTAATGTTAATTCCAAATATACGTTTTCCATCGCAACAGTTCACTCAAATCTAAATTGTATTATATTTAGTACATTTTATTCCTATAATTACGAATTTCCTAAACTTCCTCAAACCTACACTCTAACAGTAATTTTAATTCCAAAATTATGGAGTCCAGCCTATTCGTTTGCACATAATCAAGTTGTACCCAACACCGTACCATTCAGTACAAATAAGTACTATACTTTCATATCTCAATTCTACACTTCAACAGTAACTAATATCGAAATTTTAGGTTTCTAGGTCTCCCCGTTCATCCAAACCCAAATTGTACCAAATCTATTGTCATTTAGTACTTTTCGTACACATAAATATCATTTCCCAAAGCTGTCTCTACAGCACAATCCTCAATTTTATTCCAAATTTTAAACTTTACTCCATTTAGTAAAATTTAGTACTTTTCGTATCCATAAGTACAAATTTCCTCAAACAGTCAGTAATTCCCAATTACAAGACTCCAGATCTATCTGTTAACCTTAATTCAACTTGTACCAAATTTAGTACTTTTCATACACATAAGTACGATTTTGTAATGCTACCTCAATCCTATACTCCAATAGTAATTCTAATTCCTATCTTTAAGTATCTCTATACGCTCAACTAAATGCAAATATTGCCAAATTTAGTACCATTTAGTAATTTTCATGCACATCCTTAATCCTTAATGCGGATTAAGGTCTAATCCGCTGTCAATGACCTTTAATCCGGTGTCAATGACCCTTAATCCAGATTAAGCCTTAATCCGGGGTCAATGACCTTTAATTTTGGTGCAATGACCTTTAATCCGGATTAAGGGTCACTCACACCGGAATAAAGCTTAATCCGAGTTAAGGATCATTGACCCCGGAATAATGCTTAATCCGTATTAAGGGTCATTGACCCCGGATTAATGTTTAATCCGGGTTAAGGGTCTTTCACCCCGGATTAAGGGTCATTCATCCCGGATTAAGGCTTAATCCGGATTAAGGGCCATTGACCCCGGATTAAGGGTCATTGACCCTTGATTAAGGCTTAATCCGGATTGTGGGTCATCGACCCCGGATTAAGACTTAATCCGGATTAAGGGTCATTGACCCCGGATTAAGGCTTAATCCGGATTAAGGGCCATTGACCCCGGATTAAGGGTCATTGACCCTGGATTAAGGCTTAATCCGGATTGTGGGTCATCGACCCCAGGTTAAGACTTAATCCGGATTAAGGGATATTGACCCCGGATTAAGACTTAATACGGATTAAGGGTCATTGACCCCGGATTAAGGCTTAATCCGGTTTTAGGGTCGTTGGCCCTGGATTAAGGCTTAATCCGGTTTAAAGTCCATTGACCCCGGACTAAGGGTTAATCCGGATTGAGGGTCATTGACCCCGCATTAAGACTTAATCCGGATTAAGGGTCATTGACCAGTCCAGCCTAACCGTTTGCACGTAATCAAGTTGTACCCAACACCGTACCCCGGATTAAGGGTCATTGACCCCGGATTAAGTCTTAATCCGGATTAAGGGTCATTGACCCCGGATTAAGGCTTAATCCGGATTAAGGGCCATTTGACCCCGTATTAAGGCTTAATCCGGATTAAGGGTATTTGACCCTTGATTAAGACTTAATCCGGTTTAAAGTCCATTGACCCCGGATTAAGGGTCATCGACCCCGGATTAAGACTTAATCCGGATTAAGGGTCATTGACCCCGGATTAAGGCTTAATCCGGATTAAGGGCCATTGACCCCGGATTAAGGGTCATTGACCCTGGATTAAGGCTTAATCCGGATTAAGGGTTATTGACCCCGGATTAAGACTTAATCCGGATTAAGGGTTATTGACCCCGGATTAAGACTTAATCCGGATTAAGGGTCATTGACCCTGGATTAAGGCTTAATCCGGTTTTAGGGTCATTGACCCTGGATTAAGGCTTAATCCGGTTTAAAGTCCATTGACCCCGGATTAAGGGTTAATCCGGATTGAGGGTCATTGACCCCGCATTAAGACTTAATCCGGATTAAGGGTCATTAACCAGTCCAGCCTAACCGTTTGCACGTAATCAAGTTGTACCCAACACCGTTCCCCGGATTAAGGGTCATTGACCCCGGATTAAGGCTTAATCCGGATTAAGGGTCATTTGACCCCGTATTAAGGCTTAATCCGGATTAAGGGCCATTTGACCCCGTATTAAGGCTTAATCCGGATTAAGGGTCATCGACCCTGGATTAAGGCTTAATCCGGATTGAGGGTCATTGGCCCCGGATTAAGGGTCTTTGACCCCTGATTAAGACTTAATCCGGATTAAGGGTCATTGAACCCGCATTAAGGCTTAATCCGGATTAGGGTCATTGACCACGGATTTAATCCGGATTAAAGGACATTTACCCCGGATTATGCCTTAATCCGGATTAAGGATGTGTATGAAAAGTATTAAATGGTACTAAATTTGGTACTAAATGTTACGAAATTTAGTACAATTTGGATTTTGGGTGAACGGATGTAGCTGAAAACCTGAAATTTGGAATTAAAATTACTGTTGAGGATTGAGATATGAAGACAACTTTGGGAATTCGTATTTATGTTTACGAAAAGTACTAAATGGCACTAGATTTGGTACAATTTGGGTTTTGGTAATGGAGAGAGCTGGAAACCTAAAATTTGGTATTAACTGGTACACATTTGAAATGTGTGTGGATGGAACTAAATGTGGAACCCTCCATTGTCATACTATGCATAGAATATTCCTCTTTAGAATGGAATATTCCTCTTCGAATATCCTCTCCTGGTCCTTGTCTCTATTTAAATATTTCTCCATCGGTTTCCTGTACAGAATCCATCAATTCTTAATTCTTATTCCAAGAACATTAATTTCACATTCGCCTTTCATAAATGTTATTTTCTTTCATTTCGCAGAGTCATACTGAGCGGTCCGAAATCAATACAGGCCACCGTTACCCTGCTGGAGAATTTACATTTGGTTATTGAAAAGACACCAGCAGCTGATATTGTCACCGACATAATGCCAATGTTATTTTCCTCCTTTGAAAGTTCAACCATACAAGTTCAGGTAAGTGGAAGAATAACAACAACTACAACAGCAACAACACGAAGAGTTTCATCGCAATGTTCGGAATTCAAGCAACACCAAACAAATGTGGCTATCGAACATAGTTGGCATTCAGTCATGCAGGGATAACACCGAACAGAAGTGCTACAATGCTGTTAGTGTGGAGAACCCTGCTAACATACTTAGAAGTGAAGGTCAGAATAATGTGTGAGGCGGAAGGGAGGACGATATGAGATATTGTGTCCATGGCTAAGTGCATGAGAGGGATTTGATTTTTTTTGTTTGTTGCTTCATCCAGTGTTTTGCTTGAGCAATTTTTAGATGTAAGCAAAAGTAAAATTTCTTGTTACTGAATGCTGTTGTTGTAGCAAGTGCAGCAACAACAACGATGACAAGAATAACCAGAAAAGTATTCTTAACATGCCATACATAAAGCATTTAGGTCGAAGGCCTTATGCAAAATAGAAAGAAAGAAAAAATCAAAATATAAAGCCCGAGAAGAAGAAAAAACATAAAACTGTAACTTTATCAAAGGAAAATAGTTTTCTTTAGTGGTTCTGCAGAAGCAGCTACAAAACTGAACCATAGATGTTTGCATCCGGCCTTTACAAAAACACAACAGCTAAGCACCCAAGTATGCAAAAACAATCTCTTCAGATGATGTTGGAATTCTTGTTGTTTTGTTTCTTCTTTGTTTTGCCCAGGAGAATTTCAGGCAGGAGAAACAAATATTTCAAACACTTGTTGATGTCTGGCAACGGGGCCAGCAGGCATGCTCGCAAATATCCGTATTTTAGAGCTTAAGTTGTATTTTTTCGCTAACACAATTGTATTGGAATTTTCCAGCAAGAATTTCATGAGAAGTAATTGCAACAACAAGAACATATAAACAACATCAATGATTTATGCGACCTAGTTTCAGAAATTATAATGGCGAATGTAGTCTTCTAAAATAGAATTACGGTATTCGAATTTATTATAATTGAGGAATGAAAATATATGAGTGAGGATATATAAGTCAGTTCTTGTTTTTATACCCTTCACCACACTGTGGTACAGGGTATTATGTCTTTGTGCATATGTTTGTAACAGGCAAAAGGAAACGAGATAGACCCACGGCCCTTTTGAGAATATGCATAGAATCACCTTCTGAGTCGATTTATGCATGCCCGTTTGTCCATGCTAAATTGTAAACGAAGTGCTGGTCGCACTTATTATCCGAATGAGATGAAATTTGGCTCAGATCATTTATTTGTCCCAGGGACGAACTCTATTGAAATTGAAAAAAATCGGTTTAGATTTAGATATAGCTCCCATATATATTTTCTTCCGATTTTTAGCAAAGGGTGAACGAAATGGCACGAAATTTTGAACAACGTACTGAAGTTAGGATAGACTAACGTGTGCCAAGTTTTATTGAAATCGGTTCTGATTTAGATATAGCTCCCATCGTCCGATTTTTCGCAAATGGTGCACCAAAGAGCCATATTTAGGTCGATTGGCACGAAATTTTGCACAACGTACAGAAGTTAGGATAGACTAACGTGTAACAAGTTTTATTGAAATCGGTTCAGATTTAGATATAGCTCCCATATATATTATCGTCCGATTTTAAGCAAATGGTGCACAAAGGAGTCAAAATGTGCAAAATGAAAAAAATCTCTGTTGCAAACATAAATTTACTGTAAAAAAAAATCATTTCGGGCGGTGCCCGGGCCCCCATGGCCGCCCGCCTGCGTTCGTCCCTGGCTCCCATATATATGTTCGCCCGATTTTTCGCAAATGGTGCACCAAAGAGCCAAATTTAGGTCGATTGGCACGAAATTGAGCACAACGTTCCGAAGTTAGGATAGACTAACGTGTAACAAGATTTATTGAAATCGGTTCAGATTTAGATATAGCTCCCATATATATTATCGTCCGATTTTAAGCAAATGCTGCCCCAAAGCGGAGTTGCACAAAAATTTTCAGTTCAGATTTAGATATAGATCCTATATATATTATCGTCCGATTTTAAGCAAATAGTGCACCAAAGAGTCAAATTTAGGCCGATTGGCATGACATTTTGCACAACGTACTGAAGTTAGGATAGACTAACGTGTAACAAGATTTATTGAAATCGGTTCAGATTTAGATATAGCTCCCATATATATTATCGTCCGATTTTAAGCAAATGGTGCCCCAAAGCGGATTTGCACAAAATTTTGCAGTTCAGATTTTGCGGTTCAGATTTAGATATAGCTCCCATATATATGTTCGTCCGACTTTTCGCATATGGTTCACCAAAGATATAAAGTGTGCTCGATTGGCACAACATTACGCGCAACGTATCGAAATGATGGGTCTGGATTAACCGTTATATGGGGACTAACCGAAAAAGTGGACCGATATTAATAATTTTTAGTGAAGACATTTGGTACGTGGACCGATAAAGCTCATCTTCGGACCTGCAGACAAGAGACAACTTAATGTAAAATGTTGGCGATCTATCTCAATTCATTTAGACGCTAGAGTGATTACAACAGAAAGACGGACCTGCATAAATCGTTATAGAATTTTACGCTGATCAAGAATATATATTCTTTATACAAATATACCCGGTTATTGATCGTTGGATTAAGTCGATTCACATATAGACACAGGTCAAATATTTAACTTAGTCGAATTTCATGTCAATGGTCCTTCAAAAATTCAAAGTTTGTAAGGATGTATTTCTTGAATATAGACAAAGTGGTAAAGGGTATCATATAGTCGGCCCCGTCCGACTTTACTACTTTCCTTACTGGTTTAATTTTAACTTTAAATAAATTAAATACAGAAAGCTTTCTATAAATCATCTATTAGTAGAAGGTCCGCTACAGATTTTCTAGAATGTCATTCAAATGATATTAATATATTGAGGACCCTCATTAAGTCTTGTGTGTATAGAATACCCTTATTTCATAGAAAACCATATATATGTATTCTATAACTGTTTCTGTACACAGAAGAAGCTCTTTAAAAAGAATGTATCTAGGTCTATTGTCATCGTTTATTATCTAATTCCAATCAATTTTACATGCTAAAACTTATTTTGGTGGATGATATTGTTGTCCATGTAGATGTACTTTGGGACGTATATGTGTTGTCATCAATCATACGCCACTGCCGCTTCCATATAAAGACCATAGTAATAAATAGTTAAACAGGACCTAATATCTAAGTACGCTTATACTAGTCCCGGAAAAGACGGACTGCGTTTAGATTTACGAAAATTACTCGATATCAAATGTCAATTCCATAGCGAATACGTCAAATATAATCCATAGGATTTATAAACATGAATATAGCTTATACGTCAACTTGAGCTATGGAAATGACATATAAGATCCAGTGGATTTAGTAGTCTAGGACTCCCACAAATGTTTTTTTTTATTGTGAGATTAATTACTTGTTCTCCAATAAATTGTGTTATTTTAATATGGTAGTCAAAGAAAAATGTTAAATGTTTAGGGTATTTGCGGTATTAAATAAATATCAAGTAAAACCATTTATCATAATTGTATTCTTAATAAAAGCGTACTTAAATCTGTCCTTTAAAATACCTATTGTTATCATCAATCGTAATGCACTTCTTCCTTATGTAAATGAAGTACCATTGGGCGTATATATGCTGGCATAATCATACGCTACAGATTATCTGAAAGAAAATGTCGATTTATACATGGTACTTTTAACATTCAAACCCATCAATTTATTCTGTTTTTACTTATATTAAACTTGAATTTCAAGATGAGATTCGACTGGTATAGATATTGAAAAGTATTGTACGCAATGATAGAAATCAGGGTACCACAATGCGTATATGCTTTTGCCAGAACTCATACCGCACCAAGGAACTTTTCAAAAATGAATTTATTTAAGTAATTCTAAAAAATAAAAATTCTGTAGAAAGTACAGTAGTAGTACAAATTCTTCGAATGCAACAGTTTCAATAACCGATCAATCCATTTAATACGAAATAATGCATTGTCAACCAACCAGAACCCACGAACCACACTAAACACGAAGTCGGGCACTTGACATTTACAAAATAAGTCAACGACTTTTTACAAGATGTTCGAAACCATTCAAATCGCGAAAATCTAAAAGGGGAAATCAGCTGACATTTTAAGTATAGTTGAATAATGTACTACCCCAATCGAAGAAGCAACCATATAGAAAATAGGCGCCATCCACAGTTGCAGGAAAAAACATCAGCTGTCATTGATCAAACATGGAATTGTCCACGTGCAACTATCCACCTGCCCAAACAAAAACCATTTCTAAATTTATAGTTGGAAACAGTACCGTATTCGAAACCAGTGAGCGGAGCAGTATAGTCGGACGGGCCGACCATATGATACCGTACACAACTTACACGAAAATCTAACTTTCTGCGGTGTAGTTCTGAGCTAGGGTAATATTTCGCGATATTTGCACCCTCTTGACTGACTAGAGGTCAACAAATATTAATAATATTCAGTACAGCTCTTCTAATTACTTGTCCAGATTCCCTTCAACATGCGGTGTATTGTGATGTTCGGCTTTCAATTGTGGCCTATAGATCGACTCGAAAAACACAAAAAATTATGTTTTTGGTTCACTTCATCACAATATTATTATCTTATCATCACCGAAAATTATAGGTGTTGTCCTTGACCATACCTGGATCCTCATGGAAAATTTCAAATATATTTCCGCGCCTGTGGTGTGGTAATGGGTTGCTAAATAATATATGAATATGTAAGCACCTGTAAATACTTACGTGTAACTCCCACATCCGAGTACATACGACAATATAATTGGTATAAATTTAAAGGTCAACTACTCCTCTTGGATATACTATCAACGTCTCGGGTCTATGTCCTTCAGGAGCAAATATATACGCTATAGAATACAAATTTTGTCATTTTTCACACAAAAGTCAGGGTCCATTTGACCCGCTAAATACTTACCGATCTTTATCAAAATAATCATGCTTATTCTTTGGCCCGATCCTCATCTCCATGTAAAAATTCACGATGTTTGGGCTATAATTGCGGCCTCTGTAGCGACCAGAAATACCGACAAAAATTAAGAATTTGTCCATTTCATCCCCTAAATACTAACCGTTCTTCAATAGCTATAATACCCTGACAACATAGTTGTGTAGGGTATAAAAACTACGAACTAACTCTGGTCTTTAAATGCATAATTATACCCTACACAACTATGTTGTCAGGGAATTATAGCTTTGTGCAGCCCCAAGAGTTTGTAACGCAGCGAAATATTGGTCCTAGACCCACCTTTAAGTACACCGATCGTCATATCTCGACTAGCTGAATCGATCTAGACATGTGTGTCCGTCCGTCTGTCCATTATAAATTGTAAACACGATACAGGCCACAGTTATGGACCAATTTTCACGAAATTTTACATGTAGGATGGGTTCTGGCCAATGAAGACCCCTATTGTTTTTGGGAAAGATCGGTTAGTATTTAGGGGATGAAATGGACCAAATACTAAATTTTTGTCGGTTTTTCTGGTCGCTCTAGAGGCCGCAACAATGGCCCGAACATCGTGAAATTTTGCTTGGAGAAGCGGATCGGGCCAAAGAATAAGCATGCCTGTTTTGATAAAGATCGGTCAATATTAGGGAGTCAAATGGGCCCTGATTTTTGTGTGAAAAATGACAAAATTTGTATTCTATAGCGTATATATTTACTCCTGAATGACACAGACCCAAGATGTTGACAATATATCCAGGAGGAGTGGTTGGCCTTCAAATGGATACCTATTATATTGTCGTATGTACTCAGATATGGGAGTTACACGTAAATATTTGCAGGTGCTAACGTATTCCAATATTATTTATTAACCCATTACCATGAGGTTTCAATTATGTTCCATGAGGTTCCAATTATGGTCCAGGACAATGCCTATAATTTTTGGTGATGATCAGATAATAATTTTGGGATGGGACCGAAAACTATTTTTTGTGTTTTTTTTTTATTCAATCTGTAGGCTACAATTATAAGCCTAACATCACAACCAACGGTGAAGGGAATACGGACAAGTAATTAGAAGGGCTGTAGTGAATATTGGTAATATTCGGAAAATATATCCGTGTAAGGAAGAGGTACTGTTGACCTCTAATCGGCAAGAAGGTGCAACTATTACGAAATACCCAGACTCGGAAAAAAATCCGCAGAAAGATAGAGTTCTGTGGTAGTTGTGTAGGGTATCGTATGGTCGGCCACGTCCGACTATACTACTCCGCTCACTGGTTCTATTTATCTTCAAAACATTGAACAACTGTAATCATTCATTAAAAATTACTGCAAATAAAAATCCTTTTCTTCTCAGTTTATTTTCCACTGCAACATTTTTTAAATCCTTTTTCCCCTCTACTTTCAGAATGCAGCAGTTGTTGCCGTAACAAACGTCTACGATTGTATCACAGAAATGTCAATTAAACGCTTAGTATTGCCGAAGGTAAAATCTGTTTTCGAAAAGAATTTAAACGATCCGAAAATTGTGCAAAATGTTCTCATCTGCATAGAAAGTCTTATGGATAAGATGGACAAGCCAGAGGTAAGTGAATGAAATGTCGAAAAATGCACAAATTCAATGCTGAAGTGTCCAGTACAACACAATAAAAATAATCCATACAAGAATATTTAATTTTATTTGTTTTATTGTCATAATTTCGAATTAATTTTCAAGCCCATATCTTTTGTTTTGTTTTGTTTTTTTTTTTTTTTTTTTTTATTTTAACATCATTTTTAATTTTTTTATGTTAACATCATTTTACTACCGGAACATTAAGTGAATAATAAATGCACATATCATCGATTTTATACATAACATAAATACGAATATGTATGATTTGTGTGTGTGTATGTGTGCAATTGAATAAAGATTTCCGTTTGCTTACCATGTTGAGCAACAGAAATATATTGCGATGTCCTTGAAGTATCTAAGCAATGTTATATACATTTTTAATACTTTTCATTTGCAGAAAATTCGAGAATTATTCTAAATAAACAACAAATAAATACTGAACAATTATTTTCAATAGTCAATTTTGTTCATTCGAGCGTACAACATTGCATATATATGTGCTGTCATAACTCATACGCCACATATTATACTGCGTATAAGCTCTGGCATAATTCATACGCCACCAATGCTCCCTTTACTATTGAAATTCTGTAAATAACTGTTAAATATAAAATGTCAGTAGAACCTATTGTCGAAATGTGCATTCTCATATTGGACATTCTTGAAATGTACCAGTCGAATAAGCGATCAATCAATGTGATACGATGCGATGCATTGCCTTTCAGAATTGTGGTCATGTGGTTAATTTTTGGAAATATTAACATCTTGTGAATTGTGAAATTGTATGCATGTATGTGGAATTTCAAATCGGATTTTTATTTAATTAAGAATATCGACAAATCATGTGCCAACACAGTGGTTTTAATTTGAAGTCACATGCGATGGGCAAAAGCGCATATAAAGAACCAGTGAGCGGAGCAGTATAGTCGGACGGGGCCCACCATATGATACCCTACACAACTTCCATGAAAATCTAACTTTCTGTGGTTCTATACTCTGAGGTTGGGCAAAATTTTGCGATATTTGCACACTTTTGACTGGCTAGAGGTCGGAAAATACTACTAATAATCAGTACAGCCCCTTCTAATTACTTGTCCAGATTTCCTTCACCGTAGGTTGTGTTGTGATGTTCGGCTTTCGACTCAAAAAGTACAAATAATTAAATTTTTGGTCCACTTCATCAGAAAAATTATTATCTGATCGTCACCTAACATTTAAGACGTTGACCTTGACCATAACTGGAACCTCATGGAACATTTCAAAGCGATCAGGCAATATATCCACCCTAAAGTGTGGTAATAGGTTACTAAATAATATATGAATATGTAAGCACCTGTAAATATTTAAGTGTAACTCCCTCATCCGAGTACCTATGACAATATGATTAGTATCAATTTAAAGGTCAACCACTCCTCTTGGATATACTATTAACTTCTCGGGCTTATGTCCTTCAGGAGTATTTACTCCTGAATAAAAATTTTGTAATTTTTCACACAAAATTCAGGGTCCATTTGACCCGCTAAATATTGACCGATCTTTATCAAAATAGGCATGCTTATTCTTTGGCCCGATCCCCTTCCCCATGTAAAGTTTCGCGAAGTTCAGGTCATAATGGCGGCCTCTGAAACGACCAGAAAATTGGACAAAAATAAAGTTTTTGGTCCATTTCATCCCCTAAATGTTAACCGATCTTTACCAAAAACAATAGGGGTCTTCATTGGTCAGAACCCATCCTACATGCAAAATTTCGTGAAGATTGGTCCATAACTGTGGCCTGTATCGTATTTACAAATTATAATGGACAGGCGGACTGACGGACGGACGAACACACATGTCTAGATCAACTCAGCTAGTCGAGATATGACGATCGGTATACTTATAGGTTGGTCTAGGATCAATATTTCGCGGCGTTACAAACTCTTAGGGCTGCACAAACTATAATACCCTGATAATATTGTTGTGTAGGGTATAAAAATCCACACAAGTATTGGTCCCTAAAAAATGCACAAAGTATTAATCCTTGCAAAAATCTTCTTTAAAAAATCCATGCCAATATTGGCTCATGAAAAGATTCCCACTTGTATCGGCCCTTTGAATACACCTTCTTTAAAAAAAGTATTGGACCTAGAAAAAATTCTAACTGGTATTGGCCCTTGAAAAAAATATTTTATAACAAATCCACACCAGTATTGGTCCTTAAAAAATATTCTCTAACAAATCCATGTCAGTATTGGTCCTTGAAAAAATCTATAAGAAATCCATGCCAGTATTGGTCCTTGAAAAAATCTTTTCTAACAAATCCATGACAGTATTTGTTCTTGAAAAAATCACGCCTGACAGTGTTGGTCCTTGAAAAAATCACGTTTGTATTGGTCCTGGAAAAAATCTGTATGGTGTATGGTTCCTTACAAAAATCTTCTTTAAAAAATCCACGCTGTATTGGTCCTTGAAAAAATCTATACTGTATTAGTTAAATATATTCTTTTAAAAATCCACGCTTTGATGGTACTTGAAAATATTCTTTACAAAATCCAGGCCTTTTTTTGTCCTGGAATGATAAAGTCAATGCATCATAAAGCCAATGCTTTATTGGTCCTTGAAAATATTTTTTTAACAATCCACGCTTTGATAGTCCTTCAAAATATTCTTTAAAAAATCCACATTTTGATGACCCTTAAAAATATTCTTTACAAAATCTTCATTGCAAAACCTCTACATGATTGGTCCTTGAAAAAAAAATCGTCTCTAAAAAATTCCACACTGTATTAGTCCTTGAAAAAATCCACGCTTTAATGGTCTTTAAAATATTATTTTAGTAATCCAAGCTTTGATGGTACTTGAAAATATTCTTTAAAAAATCCGGGCCTTTATTGGTCCTAGAATCATAAAGCCAATGCATCATAAATCCACTGCTTTATTGATCCTTGAAAATATATTTTTTTTAACAATACACGCTTTGATGGTCCTTCAATATATTCTTTTAAAAATCCACACTTTGATGACCCTTTAAAATATTCTTTACAAAATCATCATTGCAAAACCTCTCCTTTATTGGTCCTTGAAAAAAAATCGTCTCTAAAAAATTCCACGCATGTATTAGTCCTTGAAAACATCTTCGTTAAAAATCCACGCCTGTTCTACCCCTTGAAAAAAATATTCTTTCTCAATTGAAGATTGAGTAATTTAAATCTCGTCATTAAACAGTATGCTTCGTTTTCTCTTATAACTTTACCTGATAATATTACCAATCATCGAAACCCACATACATACACACAATTAATTTTCACTTGCATTCATTTATTTCGTTGTTGTTGTTGTTTTATTTTCATCTTTTATCCACATACATAAATATGCTCTTCATTAATCATTTTGGTTGCTCATGGATGTACATTTTCATTTGCATATTTTTTTGTATCCTTTCTCCCCTTCTTCTCGTTATGCATATTTTACGATTATTTGCGGCGGCGGCGGCGATAACGGCATCAGGTCACAGAGGAAATACTGACGATACTTGCTGGTGTCGAAATACCGGATCCAGATTTAATTATGCGTTCAGTGCGTAAGTATTTATTCAGGCATGCATCCGCTGTGTTTCTTTTTTCTCCGTTTTGCATTGCCCGCGATTTATTTCATCAACCAGCTTCATGTGTCGAGAGGTGGCAAATAAATATGCAATCGAAACGATGATTTTCCCATGAGTTTTCTGTGTATGTGATGGGAGGGTGTCGTAATGCATGGATATTTCATGGATCAGACATTTTGTTTTCATCTTTTACTATGTACTTTATTTTTGTAATTTATCCCATTATGTTTATGTGTGTGTATTTCTCTTATTTTCTGCTCTGTCTCTCTCCCGCGTCTTGTCATCTATCCTTACAGGTATTTATCAAAGGCTATTTTGCGATTCTGCATATGGCTTAACAACGGAAGCGGTTGCCAATAATGTGTTGCCCTTGCTGATACCGCACACCATCAATCCGCACTTGAATTTGGATCAATATTGCTTTTTACTGGAGGTAAGTAGAAATGTGTGAATGTCTGAGAGTATGTATGTGTGAAGGTGTGCCATAATAAGCATGAATATGTCAATGGTTCAATCTCATTTTTATTGCATAAATTGAAATGGTGCAGTTTTACGCTACATTAAACGCCGCGATAATATGCCATCGCGCGCAACGTAAATTAAATTGCATTGCAAAGGTCAATAAGTCAGAAAACCAGTAAGTCAGGGTGCCAGCCAGCCACTTATTAAGTTGGCAATCGAAATGTTTTTAATAAAACGATTCTTACGAATTGTGGTGAAAGGGTAAAAAAGTGTAGTGCAATTAATTGAAACATCATCATGTGGCCGGCCACAGCTTAATTATAGTATTTTTTCCCTTTTAAAGTGTCTTCCTTGAGGAGGGCTAATGGCGAAGGTGTGTAATTGAAGAAAATGGATTTTTTTAGAAGACCAATAAGAGCTCATATATGCAAAAGTCTTGTAGAATATCTTCCTTTTAAAGGAGGATTGGTCCATAAATGTGGCCTGTATCGTGTTTACAAATTATAATGGACAGACGGACGGACACACATGTCTAGATCGACTCAGCTAGTCGAGATATGACGATCGTTATACTTATAGGTGGGTCTAGGACCAATATTTCGCGGCGTTACAAACTCTTGGGGCTGCACAAAGCTATAATACCTTGACAACATAGTTGTGTAGGGTATAAAAACCCACACAAGTATTGGTCCCTAAAAAATGCACAACGTATTAATACTTGCAAAAAGCTTCATTAAAAATCCATGCCAATATTGGCGCATGAAAAGATTCCCACTTGTATCGGCCCTTTGAATACACCTTCTTTAAATATCCACGACAGTATTGGACCTAGAAAAAATTCTCACAGGTATAGGTCCTTGAAAAAAATATTTTATAACAAATCCACACCAGTATTGGTCCTTAAAAAATCTTCTCTAACAAATCTAATCTAACAAAAGGAAGGAGAAGTTGTGAAATTGAAGAAAATTGCATTTTTTAAAGTCCAATAAGAGCTCATATATGCAAAAATCTTGTAGAATATCTTCCTTTTAAAGGAGGTCTTTAATTGGCAATATTTCTGTAGAATTCCCTAAAATGGACCACATGAGATCTGTAGAACTACTACTACAATTTTTATACCCTTCACCACACTGTGGTACATGGTATTATGTCTTTGTGCATATGTTTGTAACAGGCAAAAGGAAACGAGATAGATCCATAGCTCCTTTTGAGAATATGCCTAGAATCACTTTCTGAGTCGATTTATGCATGTCCGTACGTCCGTCTGTTGTTGTTAAATTGTAAACAAAGTTCAGGTCGCATTTATAATCCGATTTGGATGAAATTTGGCACAGCTCATTTGTTTAGCCCAAGGACGAACCCTGTTGAAATTGGGAAAAATCGGTTCAGATTTAGATATAGCTCCCTATTGTGCACCAAAATCCCTATATATCTTTCGATTTGCACGAAATTTAGTATAACGTACTGAATTGAGCCTAGAATGATGTCTGCCAAGATTCGTAAATATCGGCCCAGATTTATATATAGCTCCCATATATAGTTTCGATTTACACGAAATTTGGCACAACGTACTGAATCGAGCCTAGAGTGAAGTATGCCAAGTTTCGAGAAATCGGTCCAGATTTATACATAGGTCCCATATATAGTTTCGTCCGATTTGTATATCTGTCGATTTGCACGAAATTTAGTATAACGTACTGAATTGAGCCTAGAATGAAGTTTCGTGAAAATCGGTCCAGATTTATACATAGGTCCCATATATAGTTTCGTCCGATTTGATGTAAATGGTGCACCAAAGTCCCTATATATATTTCGATTTGCACCAAATTTTGTCATAACGTACTGAATTTAGCCTAGAGTGATGTCTGCCATGTTTCGAGAAAATCGGTCCAGATATAGATATAGCTCCCATATATAGTTTCGTCCGATTAAATGTAAATGGTGTACCAAAGTCCCTATATATGTTTCGATTTGCACCAAATTTGAAAATCGGTCCAGATTTAGATATAGCTCCCATATATAGTTTCGTTCGATTTCATGTAAATAGTGCACCAAAGTCCCTATATATCCTTCGATTTGTACGAAATTTGGCATAATGTACTGAATCGAGCCTAGAGTGATGTCGGTCAAGTTTCGTGAAAATCGGTCAAGGTTTAGATAAAGCTCCCATATATATTTTCGTCCGATTTGATGTAAATGGTGCACCAAAGTCCCTATATATATTTCGATTTGCACCAAATTTGGCATAACGTACTGAATTGAGCCTAGAATGATGTCTGCCAAGTTTCGAGAAAATCGGTCCACATTTAGATATAGTTCCCATATAAAGTTTCGAGAAAATCGGTCCAGATTTAGATATAGCTCCCATATATAGTTTCGTTCGATTTCATGTAAATAGTGCACCAAAGTCCCTATATATCCTTCGATTTGTACGAAATTTGGCATAATGTACTGAATCGAGCCTAGAGTGATGTCGGTCAAGTTTCGTGAAAATCGGTCAAGGTTTAGATATAGCTCTCATATATATTTTCGTCCGATTTGATGTAAATGGTGCACCAAAGTCCCTATATATATTTCGATTTGCACCAAATTTGGCATAACGTACTGAATTGAGCCTAGAATGATGTCTGCCAAGTTTCGAGAAAATCGGTCCACATTTAGATATAGTTCCCATATAAAGTTTCGAGAAAATCGGTCCAGATTTAGATATAGCTGCCATATATAGTTTCGTCCGATTAAATGTTAATGGTGCACCAAAGTTCCTATATATCCTTCGATTTGCACGAAATTTGGCATAACGTACTGAACCGAGCCTAGAGTGATGTCTGCCAAGTCCAATCTCTCCAGACTTAGATATAGCTCCCATATATATTTTCGTCCGATTTAATGTAAATTTAGTCCAGAATGATGGGTGCCAAGTTTCGTGAAAATCGGTTGAAAGTTAGATATAGCTCCATTTTATTATAGATTGATTATAAGTATTTGACGCATCAGGGAACCAATAGGCTGGTAGGAACAAAACGTACTAAAATTAGTATAAACTAACTCAGGTTAGCCTTCACAAGGCACAGATCTAGAGTGAAAAATGAACTTCGTGGATAATCTCTAACGATTTTATTTAATGTATGGAGCTACCCAAATTTTCGTACAATTGTGCCCCAAATGCGCAACTTTTGTCCGATATAGACGAAATATTGCACATCGTACCAAATGGAGCCCAGGATGATATTTATAAAATCGTGTTTAAATCAATTCAGATTTAGATATAGCTCCTATGTATTTTTTCGATCAAGTTTGGCAAAAAATTACTCCAAATGTACAATATTTGTTGAATTGTTGAAAAAAATCGCACACCGTAACCAATTAAGACTAGACCGAGCTGTATTTTCGAACGATTTCATCTAAATTGTACACCGAAGTCCCTGCGGCTGTCCCATTGTCATGACAGACCAACACTCTAGTCACATTCGACTTTGATCCTCTCTTTGCTGGTTATATCTACTCTGAACGTCATCATAAATCCGATTCAAAATACAACCTATACGATAAGGCGGCCAACTAAGTTATAAAAAGTCGAACTTTATAAATAATCGAAATGAAAATATTTTAAAAATTAAATCATTAATTTTTTCTCATCATTAAATTTTCTTTAAAATGTCTTAAAAATATAAATGTTTGAATATTTTATAAATTTCCCACGAAATTAATAGTTATTTTTCTTTTCTCTTTTATCCTTATCTATCTTTCCGCCACAGGCAATTCATGCATTTTTGGATAGTATCGATCGCCAACAAAAGACCCGCTTGAAAATGGAAAACCTTTCAATGTCATCACCGGAACGGCATCGAACACTGCGTCATCAGTATTCGACAGATAATATGAATGCGATACCACCCTTTAATATACCCAATTTGCGCATTGATCAGCGTAAAACATCCAGTGCCGAAGATATGGCCAGAAAGAATTCTGGAGGTAATATTAACAAACTTTGTAATATTAAGTGTGTACGTGTGAGTGTGTGTATGTGGGTGTGTCTAAAACTTTCGTGACCTTGGTTAATAAATAATTGTATGTTAATGAAGATGCTTTAAGTAGGGATGTTAATAAAGATAAAGACTTTGATGTTTTGGGGGTTGTCAGGCATCCAGCCTAACTGGCTGTCTAACCTACACAAACGAAGCACACACACACACGAACACAAGCCTAAATTAAGTGCTACACAAAAAGAGTGCTCGGTAAAATTATATATACAAAAGTTAGTTGGAAACTTGTGTAATACATACAATCAATGAAGTGAAAGAGATAAGCGGAGGGTATGGTGGGGAATGCGGACTCCATGAATTTGTTATCCCTTATATACCCTTCGGGTAAAACTTGAAAATTAATTATGTCGACAACAAGCATTTTGTAAATTGTAACTTTTCCGAATATTTATGATATCTAATAGACACACACACACACACGCACACAAACAACCACATACTATGTATGACATGTCAGCTATTCAGCAAATTAAAATGAGATAATTGACATTTATCTGTTTAACTTCATCACAACTAGTAGTTTGTCAACATCAATGGATTGACTGGGTGGGGGTGTATTCAATGACAGGTATTTGTGGTATGGGTGCTGGCCATATGACAGGCCGACACCACCCAATAATTAGTCCCAGAAAAAACCTCTTAATCAGGCTGGTAGGCAGACTCGTTAGATGAATTTATTGTAATCATATTAGCAGTTTCCATGGAAATCGAACAAAAGGAAAGTAACCTTTTATGCCTGTTTAAAGTTGTCATGCTGTTCGAAGAATGAACGATTTTAATGAAGAATTGTAAGATTTCCAAATAATGGAAATGCAAAATTAGATTTAAAATTTATTATTTGCTAAATTGATTAAAAAAGGAGGCGCCAATTATGAAAAAGTTTTTATCCTTGATAGATAAACGACTATTGGCGCATTTATAAATAAACCAGTAAGGAAAGTAGTAAAGTCGGACGGGGCCGACTATATGAAACCCTTCACCACTTTGGGTATATTCAACAGATAAATCCTAACAAACGTCTCATTTTTAAAGGACCAGTAAAATGAAATTGAATCCATAAACATGTCATTCTGCAACCTATACTGATTTTTTCATTCGGTCAGATATAGAAGCTATATCTAAATCTGAAACGATTTCAACGATTTCAGCAAACTTAACACACATCATTCTAGACCTAATTCATTACGCTGTGCCAAATTTCGTGCAAATCGAAGGATATATAGGGATTTTGGTGCACCATTTACATTAAATCGGACGATAATATATATGGGAGCTCTATCTAAATCTGAATCGATTTTTCCCAATTTCAATAGGGTTCGTCTTTGGGCCAAATAAGTGACATATGCCAAATTTCATGCAAATCGGATCGTAAATGCGACCTGTACTTTGTTCACATTGACGGACAGACGGGCATGCGTAAATCGACTCAGAAAGTGATTCTATGCCTATTCTCAAAAGGAACCATGTGTCTATCTCGTTTCCTTTTGCCTGTGACAAACATATGCACAAAGACATAATACCATGTGCCACAGTGTGGTGAACAACAGGCCTATCAAGCAGGATTGAATCGTATTCACACGGACGCAGTTGAGGAAGCAGTTCAAGAATATCGTTTGAATACCATCCTCGGAGACCATCCGCCTTTGATAGCTGCAGAAGAGCAGCAGCTACCTCGACAAACTAGAATGGTCTTGGCACAACTGAGATCTGAATGGTGTAGCCGCGTCAATTCTTATTGAGCACGAATTGATGGAGAGGTCGACAATGTCTGCTCGGCATGTGGTAACGGACCACATGACATGCTACATCTGTTCAACTGCCCAGCCAAACCAACTCACCTAACCCCATCTTCCCTCTGGACTCAACCAATACAGGTCGCAGACTTCCTGAACTTGGAGTTAGAGGCAGAACCAGGTTAAAGAAAATAGAAAGATACATAGCAGTACAATCTGCTAAAACAACAACAGTGTGGTGAAGGGTATAAATAGTCCATCGAATGATATGTGTATTGATAAATAACCTACAATAATTTTCCATGATTAAGACTATTGATCCGTGATCAATATATTGATTCATGATCAATACTATTGATCCATAAGCAATCGTGTCGATTTAAAATCAACAGAATTAAATGAATTTATTCCTATTAAATTGATTACGCTTAAAGGTCATACCGAACAAATTCCATAATGAATAGTTGAAATCTCCATGCCATTGTTATTTGCAAATATTTATCCAGACCAATACAAATGTTCATAATAAATAAATATTTCATTAATGTTGTCTCTCAATAGGCTCTGGCATGTTGGGTGGCTGGTGGTTTGGCTGTTCACCATCATCGCCGGATAGCAATTTTTTGCGCGTCGCCAATGCATTCCCGAATCGACGGCTCTCGGACAATACGCTAATGACACCCAAAATACGTATTGCACCATCGTGCGCCTCATCGCCGGGTGGTACACCGGGCAGTGGTCTGCCAACGCGTCGCCACTCCAGCATAGGACCACAGGAGAGACGTGGCTCAACCATAAATCTATCGCCGCCTACGGTAAGTTGTAATTTATATTCGGTGTCTGTGTTTATAAATGATTGCATGTGGAGGCAGGCAATGCCTCTGAAATGGATGCAATGATGTTGGGTTGGGTGGTGATGGATATGAATTGCATTGCTTGCTCAATGCCCTTGACAATGAAGGGAGCGAGTAATGGCAAGGAAATGGAAAGAAGAAGAAAACTATAAACAAACAATTGAAGGATAATATTTAATATTTATTTGTTTTTATTTCATACAAGGGTTCATTTGGAATCTATTATTTTTTTATTTTATTATTTGAAATTTTTCAATTGTTGTTGTTGTTCGTAATGATTTTGTTTTTTGTGCCATTTTTAATTTGATTTTTATTAAGCCGTGATTGTTTGTATGAATTGAAATGATTTATTGGCAAACAATAGAAGTGTGTATGTATTTAAACACATATATTTATACATACACAAGCTAATAACCATATCATTTACAAAACAATTGATTCTGTCATCGCTCATTATAAACATGCCGCTGCAAAAAAAAAATCAGAACTATTCAACGATAGAAAGGGCATTACATGTTGTGGTAATGGTTTTCAGTTTATTACCAATGCACAGTTAATGAAAACATGTTTTTTGCAGTAGAAGAAAAATGAATTTCAATCTGCAATAAGCTAATAATAAAAAATGTCCCGAATGGGATTAAAATAGGAAATTGTTCTTAATGGCGACTTTAAAAAATAAACTGGGAGAATTGAAAAAAATCGTGAACAAATTGAAGTAATCTGATTTGGGCATATTGTAATCTGAAATTTATTGCTAGAACTTGCATAAAACTTTGAATTTTAATTTGATTTTCATAGAAAAATGATCTAATGTTTACGCCACGAAATATTGGTCCTAGACACACCTTTAAGTATACCGATCGTCATATCTCGTCTAGCAGAATCGATCTAGACATGTGTGAACAAATCAGATAACTATCCATTATAATTTGTAAACACGATGCAGGCCACAGTTATGGACCAATCTTCATGAAAATTTGCATGCAGGATAGCTTCTGGCCAATGAAGACCCCTATTGTTTTTGGCAAAGATCGGTTAGTATTTAAGGGATAAAATGGACCAAAAACTTTATTTTTGTCTGATTTTCTGGTCGCTCCAGAGGCCGCAATTACGGTCCAAACATCTCGTATTTTACATAGAGAAGGGGATCGGGCCAAAGAATAAGCATGCTTGTTTTAATAAAAATCGGTCAATATTTAGTGGGTCAAATGGACCCCGACTTCTGTGTGAAAAATTACAAAATTAGTTTTCTATAGATTATATATTTACTCCTGATGGACAAATATCCGAGAAGTCGATAGTATATCCAAGAGGAGTGGCTGACCTTTAAATTGATACCAATTATATGGTCGCATGTACTCAGATGAGGAAGTTACACGTAAATATTTACAGGTGCTTACGTATTCATATATTATTTAGTAGCCCATTACCACACTAGAGATCGGTGGTAATGGGCTTTGAAATTTTCCATGAGGTTCAGTTATGGTCAAGGAGAAGGCCTACCATTTTCGGCGATGATCAGATAGTAATTTTGGGATGAAATGAACCAAACTCTTAAACATCACAACACAACCCACAGCGAAGGGAATCTGGAAAAGTAATTAGAAGCGCTATACTGAATATTACTAATATTTGGAAAATATGTCGGAGTATGGAAAAAGTGCTGTTGACCTCTAATCGGGTAAGAGGGTGCAAATATCACGAAATAATGCCCAGGCCCGGAAAAAACATCCGTGGGAGTTGTGTAGGGTATCGTATGGTCGGCTCCGTCCAACTATACTGCGCCGCTCACTGGTTCCATAATATATTCATGAAAAAGTTATGTATACGATGGGTTCACGAATTCTATCCTTGAGGACTACAATCGTTAATGACCTTTGGGGTTGTGATCCCCACCACTCTTTTTGGTAAATCATTACCCCACCAGCCTTAAAGCTAATTAGGGTATACCATCAAAAAAGTGCCTCATGGAAATATTGGGTTCAAACCCCAAGTGCTTTCGATCGAATCATTTTCAGAAAATTTAAAATTCCTTTTGATCGAATTTTTGTTTATAAATTCTAGGTCAAATCCGCTATCAATAAAGGGATTGCAGTTTCCGATTTTACTAAGCTTGGTTTATCAAATCCGTTTCAGAAATTTTAGATTTCATCCGAACTTTGCTCATCTTATTATTTCATCCTAGTTTAGTTCAAATTCGAAGATGGGGAATATCGGTCCACTCCTTCTGGAACCTCCAATCAGGGGCTAGGTCTAAATGCGACTATAGTTCATTATCGAACCTTACGTTCTAATTTTGTATCTCTCTATCCTCCGCAGGTGAAATGATTACAAAAGAGTCATAGAACCAAACTTAAAACGCGGAACAAATCTGATAACTATTTTAATATAAAAAAGGGGGTTATATGGGGACCACCCCAAAAAGGGGGCGAATATTAATAATTTTTGGTAGGGAGATTTATTACCATATACGACTACACAATACCAAAGTGCAGCAAATTCGGTTCAAAAACGCGCTCAAGAACCTCAAAATACCGAAAATTGGGGGTGCCCTTATATGGTGGATATCCGAAAAAATTGACTTAAATTCATATTTTTTGTGGAGAGATTTGGAACCTATTAAGAACCCAATGTACCAAATTTCAGCGTATTCGGTTGAAAAACGCGCTCAAGAACCCCAAAATACCGAAAATTGGGGGGTGGCCTTATATGGGGGATATCCGAAAAAATTGACCTATATTTATAATTTTAAGTGGAGAGATTTGAGATTTGTACCAAATTTCAACGTATTCGGTTGAAAAACGCGCTCAAGAACCCCAAAATACCGAAAATTGGGGGTACCCTTATATGGGGGATATCCCAAAAAATTGACCTATATTTATAATTTTAAGTGGAGAGATTTTGTACCTATTAAGAACTCGAAATACTAAATTACAGCCAATTCGGTGAAAAATACGATCAAAACCCCCAAAATACTGAAAATTAGGAGGTACCGTTATATTGGGGCTACCAGAAAAAGTGGACCTATATTTATAGTTTTTTGTGGGTAGTACCCAATAAGAACGCAATGTATCAAATTTCAGGGTATTCGGTTGAAAAACGCGCCCAAGAACCCCAAAATACCGAAAATTGTGGCGTACTGTTATATGGGAGTTATGCCTAAACATGGACATATATATCTCATTTTCGAACTTGACCTGCCTGTAGACAAAAGGCAACCCTATGCAAAATTTCAGCACCCTATCTCAATTCCTTCAGAAGATAGCGTGATTACAACAGACGGACGGACGGACATGGAACTTGACCTGCCTGCAGACAGAGACGGACATGGCTAGATCGTCCTAGAATTTTTTCCTGATTAAGAATATATATATTTTATAGGGTCGGAAATGAATATTTCGATGAGTTACAAACGGAATGACAAAATTTATATATTTTTATACCCTCCACCATAGTATGGAGGGTATAAAAATATTCATAAAATACCATACATTCAAAATTATATTTCAGCAAATTGCAAACACATGCAACATCTGCGAAATAAACAAACACAATCACGGCTTAATGTAATATTAGTGAAAAATATAATCATATAAATATTTTTTGAATATACAGTATTTTTTTAATAGTAGTCGATAACAATCAAACGAACATAAAATATTTTTCATTAAATTCTACTTTTTTTATTTCTCAACGTCTATTAAGTTTAGTACATTTTCATTTCGTGTATGATTATTTCTATGACAAAGGAGGAAAATAAAAAAATACAATCCTAATATCCATTTTTAAATTAACTCATTTCCTTTATATCCTTCCGCTTTGAGAAAAAAAATTAAAACAATCTACACAATAAATAAAATCAAAAATCCCTTTTTAAAATAAAACACTTTACAAACACAAGCACATACAATGATTTGAAAACAAACATCCTTTACCCTATTCACACACACTCTAATAACACTAATACCTAAACACTTGTTCATAATCACACGGTAATATAAAAACCAAATATATACGATTGTTGTACACACTTACATATTCCTCACTCTCTGGCTCTTTCATTTTTGTAAATCATACAAAACACACAAAAACCCAAAACTAATTCATGAGGAGATTTGGAGACTATACAAGCCATGAGATTTAAAAGGGTCCATTTACAATTTACTTTGTGGGCCTGAGAAAATAAAAAAGGACTTGCCTTATCCTTGCACTCAAAAGGTAATTTACTGAAATGAGTTACAATGTCCTTTTTCTCAAGTCTGTTTTTGTTAACTCCTGTTGACTGTGTATTTATTATTTTAACAACCTTGACGTAAAGGATTAGTTTATGTGATTTTGTTGCCATATCTCTAAAGGATGGTTATGGTTATTACTACAAAAATAAATAGCAACAAGTTGTTGTTATTGAGAATTTTTATCATTTTCAAATAATAGAAGTAAATATAAGTTTAATCATTCAAAAAAAAATCGCATCATATAAATACTTAAAAAAAAATCATAAATAAAAAATAAAATTTAATATTTAATACCATAGAAATTTATTATTTCACCCATATTCCCAATACCACCTGAGCGTATACACACTGTCATAGTGTATACGCCATATTGTATATGGATAATTGGATCTTACTTTTTGAAAATGAGAATGGATTGTAATAACCAAAACCTGTATAAGTTGTCTTATATTAGAATGTTCTTCGTGCGCCTATGAGAAGAATTTGTGATTTTCTATGGGACCCTAACGCCTTCCAAATATAAGACTCTGTAGACTTCCATTCGAGTATATGGAGATCTTCATAGGGAGATATTGTGATCTTCTGAAATTTTCAATGAGGAGAGGAGTAATTCCATAGATATTCTATATGAAGATCCTCACACTTCTACAGAGCGTTCCTTTGATCTTCTGTAGGAAGATAATAAAACATTCTGTATGAAGGCATGAGAACATCTATAAGATGGTCTTGTCTATTCTTTAGATATAACGTCTTTGAGAAGACCTTCAGTTCTTCTACGGGAAGATCTACAGCTCTTCTATGAGAAGTCCTATAGCTCTTCTATCAGAAGATTTTAAACTCTTCTATGAGAAGAATTACAACTCATCTATGAGAAGATGTAGAGTTCTACTATCAGAAAATTTTTAGTTCTATCTAGTTCTACGAGAAGATTTGCATCTTATCTATGAGAAGACCTAGAGCTCTTTTGTGAGAAGGCCTACAGCTCTTCAATGAAAGGACTTACAGCTCCTCCATAAGAAGAACTACAGCTCTTCTATGAGAAGACCTACAGCTCTTCTATGAGAAGACCTACAGCTCTTCTATGAGAAGACCTACAGCTCTTCTATGAGAAGACCTACAGCTCTTCTATGAGAAGACCTACAGCTCTTCTATGAGAAGACCTACAGCTCTTCTATGAGAAGACCTACAGCTCTTCTATGAGAAGACCTACAGCTCTTCTATGAGAAGACCTACAGCTCTTCTATGAGAAGACCTACAGCTCTTCTATGAGAAGACCTACATCTCTTCTATGAGAAGACCCACAGCTTTTCTATGAAAAGACCTTCAGCTCTTCAGTAAGAAGGCCTACAGCTCTTTAATAAAAGGACTTACAGCTCCTCCATAAGAAGAACTACAGCTCTTCTATGAGAAGAACTACAGCTCTTCTATGAGAAGAACTACAGCTCTTCTATGAGAAGACCTACAGCTCTTCTATGAGAAGACCTACAGCAGCTCTTCTATGAGAAGACCTACAGCTCTTCTATGAGAAGACCTACAGCTCTTCTATGAGAAGACCTACAGCTCTTCTATGAGAAGACCTACAGCTCTTCTATGAGAAGACCTAAAGCTCTTCTATGAGAAGACCTAAAGCTCTTCTATGAGAAGACCTAAAGCTCTTCTATGAGAAGACTTACAGCTCTTCTATGAGAAGACCTACAGCAGCTCTTCTATGAGAAGACCTACAGCAGCTCTTCAATGAGAAGACCTACAGCAGCTCTTCAGTGAGAAGACCTACAGCAGCTCTTCAATGAGAAGACCTACAGCAGCTCTTCTATGAGAAGACCTACAGCAGCTCTTCTATGAGAAGACCTACAGCAGCTCTTCTATGAGAAGACCTACAGCAGCTCTTCTATGAGAAGACCTACAGCAGCTCTTCTATGAGAAGACCTACAGCAGCTCTTCTATGAGAAGACCTATATCAGCTCTTCTATGAGAAGACCTACAGCAGCTCTTCTATGAGAAGACCTACAGCAGCTCTTCTATGAGAAGACCTACAGCTCTTCTATCAAAAACCCTTCAGTTCTTCTATCAGAAAACTTTCAACTCTTCTTTGAGAAGATTTACATCTTATTTATGAGAAGTCTTGTAGCTCTTCTATGAGAAAATGTTAAAATGCTCTTCTATCAACAAATTTTTAGTTCTTCTATGAGAAGATGTACATCTTATCCGAATACCTTATACATTAAATATTTAATTTGTAAATTATAATTATATTGTTATAGCAACTGACCCCTTTAAATCTCATACTTGTATTAACCAGCTTCCAATTCCAACAACAACAAAAAATATTCTTAAACATAATTTTTTTATTCAACAATAATTCAATTTTACTCATACATAAACAATTCTAAACTCACTTATACTAGGCATATGGTTTCGGTGCAAGAGGTGGCTCAGGATCAAGTCTTTCGGTTCCCTCATCGTCTGTCTATGTAGTAAGTCTAAAAAACTTAAAATCATCTTCTGACAACAACAAAAAACAAAATCAAAAAAAAAAACTATATGAAATGCTTGTGCGCGTTTGAATGAATGGTTGTGTGGTCGGTTTGGATGGTTCGTTGGTTTCATGCTGCGTGTTTCGACGTTCGTTTTGTTAACCTCTGCTAAATATGTTGTGTTCTTCCTGCTCATTTTATGTTTTGTTTTTGTTTTTCGTCTTCTTCTTCCTCCTTTCTGTTTAAGTGGTAAAGGCATATAATAACACCTGGAGTTGAATTTTATTTCTAAGTTAAACCCGCCAGCGGGGTTAAAGTCTTTTGCATTTTGTTTTTTAATTGCATTTTTGTTGCTTTTTTTGTTTCATCTGTTGGGGAAAGCAAACTGCTTCGTCTGTGGCTGTTTAAGCCCTCTATACCATTTGATTTTTCAGTTGTTGATGTTGTTGCTTTTAACTTGTGTTTGTTGGAAATCTTGAAACAAAAAAAAACTCTATTCCCCTAGCAAAAACATTACAAGCGACAGCTGATGAATTACCGGGCACAAAACAAAAAAGCAAATCCTTGTGGCAAAATTACAGCATGGATGGAGACCAGGATAAAACGATGCAAATCAGGTGGATGTTTTTTTTTTTCATGGTGAAAGTGGATAACAGTATTAAACTGGGCTCTGGCCCTGTCTAATCAGAATGCAATGAATTGCGATGACCCTAGACACTTAGAGACGAGCAATACCTCATTCATGTTTTCATATTTATTTTTGTTTGCATTTTTATGTTGCTGCTTAATAAGACTAAAGAGAGGGAGAACATCCATTCAACAAGTTGACGTTGTAATGGAAACATCAAATATAGCTCCCCTGCATTAAAAAGTCATGAATATTTATGTGAAACATAAACAAAAAACAATGGTTTTGTTTTAAGGAAAGAATATAGCTAAACAACAACTATCACTCGGCATTTGCATGAACCTTAAGCATGAACCGCGCTTTTTAATATTTAAACATGTAACAAACCCTCAAAGCGCGTGTTCCAACAAAGTGTAAAGGGCTTCAAGTTTTCCCTGCTTATGTCCACGATGCCAAACGTGCAAACGTGTTGGTGTGTTCCACCATTAAGAATGCTTGTGATTTATTTTGATGTAAATCAGATTTTAATGTGATTTTATTTACATGCTGAATGCAATGGGGATAACCAGTTAGAATATCTGCAATAGCTATTCGGGAAACACGGGGTCATTCAAAATACATCAAAGTGAAATATATAAATATAATATTTAAATCCTTTTAACGAAAAAATGCCTTTCTTAAATACATCGCATATCTGTCATTGTATTTATGAGACATGTGTGAGACCTATCGGTAGTTTGGGCAGAGGATTCGATGGGAGACCACTCAGACGTCTTCTCTAAGAAACATTCTGTAGATATAGAAGAATTCCAAATATCTTAAGTATACATACGGCCATCTAAAGATCCATGCCCACCATAAGAAATACTCGAAATATTCACCAGAGACCTCATACAGCTTATACATTCGTGATCGGAATAAAATCCGAAAAAAAGCTAGCAATATTTCGCGAATGTTTTCAGAAAATTAGTCTGTTATTTTTTATGTTGGGTATTCAAAATCTACTTACAAAATGAGTTTATTCTATCATGTTTAAGGGTCCAAAGCCACAAACAAATATTGACTCTAATTTCAGGGTAGACCTCATAAAATGGTGTCTTCCTTATTATATTTATACCCTTCACCACACTGTGGTACAGGGTATTATGTCTTTGTGCATACTTTTGGAACAGGCAAAAGGAAACGAGATAGACATAGGATTCCTTTTGAGAATATGCATAGAATCACTTTCTGAGTCGATTTACGCATGTCCGTCTGTCCGTCCATGTATTTTTGTGAACAAAGTACAGGTCGCGTTTATGATCCGATTTGGATGAAATTCGGCATAGGTCACTTATTTGGCCCAAGGGCGAACCCTATTGAAATTGGGAAAAATGGGTTCAGATTTAAATATAGCTCCCATATATATTTTCGTCCGATTTAATGTAAATGGTGAAGCAATGAACCTATATATCTTTCGATTTGCACGAAATTTGGCACAGCGTACTGAATAAGGTCTAGAATGATGTGTGTTAAGTTTCCTGAAAATCGGTCCAGATTTATATATAGCTCCCATATATATTTCCTCCCGATTTAATGTAAATGGTGCACCAAAGTCCTATATATATCTTTCGATGTGCACGAAATTTGGCACAGCGTAATGAATTAGGTATCGAATGATGTGTGTAAAGTTTCCTAAAAATCGGTTCAGATTTAAATATAGCTCCCATGTATATTTTCGTCCGTTTTAATGTAAATGGTGCACCAAAGACCCTATATATCTTTCGATTTGCACGAAATTTGTCACAGCGTAATGAATTAGGTCTAGAATGATGTGTGTTAGGTTTCCTGAAAATCAGTTCAGATTTATATATAGCTTCCATATATATTTTCGTCGCATTTAATGTGAATGGTTCACCAAAGTCCCTATATATCTTTCGATGTGCACGCAATTTGGCACACCGTAATGAATTAGGTATAGAATGATGTGTGTAAAGTTTCGTGAAAATCGGTTCAGATTTAGATATAGCTCCCATATATATTTTCGTCCGATTTAATGTAAATGGTCCACCAAAGCCCCTTTATATCTTTCGATTTGCATGAAATTTGGAACAGCGTAATGAATTAGGCCTAGAATGACGTGTGTAGAGTTTCCTGAAATCGGTTCACGTTTAGATATAGCTTCTATATCTGACCAAATGAAAAATTTAGTATCGGTTGCAGAATGACATGTTTATGGATCCAATTTCATTTTACTGGTCCTTTAAAAATGCGTCGTCGGTTAGGATTCATCTGTTGAATATACCCAAAGTGGTGAAGGGTATTATATAGTCGGCCCGTCCGACTTTACTACCTTCCTTCAGGTTTTAAGATATCTTATACCGATAGGCCCTAATTCGATATTTAAGGTTCTCATTCACACTAATTGACGGAATTTTATGTCTTTATAAGGAATGCATTCTGTAGATCATCTATGATTAGAAGATGTCTAATAGGGATTTGTATGAGTAATAAAAAAAATTACAAGTTTTTTTTTTACAAGTTTACAAGTTTTTTTTACAGTATTTTACATACAACATAAAATAAAATAATAATATAAGCCTTCGATTATTGGAAAACATTTTCTATGGATGGAAAAACTTCTCATCTCATCAGAACGTATTGGATTAACAAGAATATTCTATTGAATCTATCTGTAGAATTTTTGTAAACATCTTCTGTATGTAACACCTAAAAATTTATTCTACATATAGAAGTATTTTTATGGATTCTTTATAAGTAGAACACCTTTACAACATCCTGTATTGCATCGCCTTTATCCTGATAAACTTATTATTCAATGTCAATGCCCAGAAGATTCTAGTGTAGGTATGACTGGGACGTTAGCTATTACGTATTTCCCTTCCAGCAATCTCGTTTTTAATCACTCACTCTCCAAAAGCGTTTCTGATACAAAATGTATCCTTGAAATAAATACATATAATAAATATATCGCTAATGGTTTTATGTTTTTTATCCTCGTTACTTCGATATTTTGTATACTAACATGTGTCATTTTTCCAAAAAAAAATAAATTGTATCAAAACCTCGCTACTTTTTTACCAAAATACTTGCCTTGTCTGTCTGTTTGTTACATACCCTTTGATGAATGAAAATAAGAAACTGTGTGAGTGTGGGTGTGTTTATTGCTGCATTTTCTTTGATCGTACGTTCATTCGACTGCTGCGTTTCGTTGTTGTTTCTGAGTTTTGCATTCAAATTGTTGATTTCATTTTTTTTTAAATTTTTCTTCTGTCCATATTTTGTTTGTATGAATTTCATTGATGTTTTTTGATTTACGTTCCACGTATTAATTGATATTTTCAACCCACTTATTGTTTCCATTAATTGGTGTCATTTAATTTGAATTAAAAATCTATCGTTAATCAGCAAGAGATGTCAAATTGCTATTGTAATCTATTCAATTGGATTACAAGGAACAATTAATTGTAATTATAATAAAGTAAATATATAAAATTAAAAAAATATAAGAAGTGAAATCGTTAGGATAACATTATTTTATTTCATAAAGATTCATAGAGAATTAATTATTATTGTTTTATATGGCAAAAATTGCGATACTATCATTTTTGGCCTAGAAAAAAAATTGATACAATAACACATTTTTGGGGGTGTGGAAACCCTTGGCGACTATATAGAGTTCCAAAGGGACAATTACACCATCTTTTTTTCGATGATAAGCATAAAGTCCATGAAGAAATCGTTTAACATTTTTCTTTGCGGAAATAGCAGTTTATTTTTGAGATGATATGCCAACCGATGAGGATTTTTTAATAAAACATATCATCACTCTATTTCGAATCCTTATGCGCCTCTTTGTCACTCAAAACGAGATTTTTTTGCATTCACATGATGTACATAATCGGTTGATTAAAATCGGTACAAAAATTGAGTTTATTGTCCAGTCGTTCTGTGTTTAGTATAATGATATTAAATTTATGTTAAAGATTTCAGATGAATCCGACACTTTTACAATTTATAGGAAATTTTATACGAAATTTAATAGAGTTCGGAGATATAAGGTTCCCTGAGCAAAAGTGAAAAAGATAATATATAAAATGATGAAAATATCGATTTCTTGTCTTTGAGAATCTAATCTACGACATTATTGTAGAATATTTGTAAAATCTAGACTTATTGTATTTGATTTACGATTTAACCATGGCCAAAAACATAATTATAAAGCATTTCCTTGGTGAACTTGAATAGCAAAAAAATCCAAATTCAAAAACTTCACCTATAACCAATTGGACATTTTGGCATCATAATATATTCGATAAGGGACAGATATATACCCTCAGCATATGAGACCCTGTTGTAAAATATACTATGA